GATAAAATTACATAATTTCATTTTATACATAAATAATTAGGTATAATTAAGGGCCGGCGCGCCTAAGTGCTACAGCTCTCCACTGCGTCTCGCCTTCATACACTTTATAGTTTTTATTGATTTGAATATAAGTACATTATAGTTCAAGATTAGGTGTCTAATGGTCTGGTGGTGATCTTGCCTCATAAAAGTCCTGGTATTTCAAATTCGTTTGATTAAAACAATTACTTATCACTAATGTTTTAATAGGTTTATTTTTGTTTATCGCAATTCAGTGAGGAAATGCTTTATTTATTTACACTTTACAATTTTACCTTATACAAAATAATACATATAAAAAAATATAAAAAATATAAAAAAAGCAGGTTACATAAGTTATAAGGCAACGGGCAGCCTTATCACTAACAAGCGATTTCTTCCTGGCAACCCTAATACACATATAAGGTGCACTGCCACAAGGACCAAACTTTTTAAATTTGTTTTAATTTTCTGTTTACTCATTTTTAATTATTACTGTGTATTTAATTTTTAATATATATATCATTAATTTTTAATTATAAATACTGTATGTGGTATGATGGTTATATTTAGGTTTTAATAAACAATTGCGCAGACATCAAATACGTGACGATAAATCAAAATCTTCAAGCTGGAAGCCTCTCAATGTTTTCTTTCACCGTTCGACCGCATGTTAAATGCACACGTAGAAAGTCTATTGGTGCACAGCCGGGGATCGAACCTACGACCTTAGGGATGAGAGGCGCACGCTGAAGCCACTAGACCAACACGACTCTGCTTTATTGAATTAAATATTATTTAATAATCATAAAGACATCACAGAGAACTTATAAAGAGTCGGTAACTAATTGGACGTTGCAAATAACAATATATCAAGTATCAAGGTCATTGTAACCTTTTTACAGTTATTATAATAATTGTTAATTAGTGTTTTTATGATGTACCTGTATTCTTTGATAGAGCAGTGTTAGTCTCAACTCGTGAAAATGACAAAGAGGTATCTTAGTAAGAAATTATTTTTAAAAAATTGCCAAGAATTACGAAATCACAGTTGACGATAATTCAAATTTCCAATAAATTTTGCCTGACGCTTTTGACAGGATGAATCTCTATGGTATAATCACTAGATCACAAGATTCTATTCGCGGTTTCGTTCGTATTTATAGGGAATATATTTCACGATTGGGAATAAAATGTAGTACTGTTTCTGTACCAAAGTTTACCATAACAGACTCGGCGGATGATAGTTTAAGATGATTAGAATAAAAAACTTCTTACTACTTGAATAAATATCTTCTTTGTTTGTTCATAAAAAACAGTGGCGCTACAATATTTTTCTAATAGGAAAGTGATTGAGCCTTTAATGTCTGACACATCGAACTTTTGGGTCTAAGGCCGGTTTCTTCACTTGTACTTCCTTCCCGTACGAGCGAGTTTTAAATGCGCACGTTAATCATACGATCTTCGGGAAGAGTCGCACGCTGAAGCCAGTACTGCTGTATTTGTTCGTAAATGTATCACATGACATTTATTATTTTTGCCTTTGAAAAATCTAGGACTGAATATTGTCTTTGCGCAACTATTATTAACATAATTCGCATTTTGAGAGCTTTCCAGAAAACTAAATGCATTTTTAAATTGTGAAAATATCTATATGTAGTTTTATTTTTATGCAATAGAAATCAATGTATTGCACGCGCCTCATTAGCGGAGCGGAGGCAGTGCTATACTCTCGACATGTCAAAAAATCCAGTCTTTCGAAACTTGAATGACTTTTTTCTCACTAATATAACACTTACAGGATAATATGAGTGCACTAAAATCGAGTTAAATAATCTATCATGCACATATGGTATTTTTTATGAACAATTATTTTGTTTAACATAGTAAATAATAACATTAAAATCAATCATTCTTGGACGTCCGTCAGTCTGTGTTTATGGATCCATGTATGTGGCAGAGAAATTGGTCGAAAAATTTATCGTACCAGAATACTTTTTTTCTTATTATATAAAGTTATACCCTGGGCTGATTCCTAGTTAATATTAGCGTTCTAAGTACTGTCGTTTAATTATAATTTGTAAAAAACTAAAATACGACTGTGTATTTGTATTTTGTATATACATATATATATATATATATAAATTTATTTTAGTATATTTTTTCCTCACCTTAGAGTTATGGCGCCACTATATATTTTTTTATTATATTATTTTTTTTTTTCAATCATTCATTTTCATTTATTTTTTATTTTTTTTTATCATCTCGTAAGAAGTAAAAAAAAATAAAAAAAAATGTAAACGAATGATTTTTTTTAAATGTGAATGTCCGCTATGAGGCGTGCATTTGGATTTTCCAACTTTATTTACTTACACGCGGTCATTCACAAACGGAGCGAGCGTTTTTAAAATCGCTTCACTATTTCCCACAGATAACAAATGAATCTCTTAGGTATATAAATTATTGAAGTTATACTTCTTTAGGCGCGTTATGAAAAATTTATGAGAGTGAAATTTTACGATGCGCGCGCACCTGTGACACAAAATTAGGAGTGTGATTATAGCGTGCGCGAGCGAGATAGGAATAAGACAATCTACAAGTAAAAAGAAATATAATATGCGTGAAGTTCGTATGCCAAGAATTTTGAATGACCATAATGACATTTGTCATTTACCTTTTAAACAAATAAAGGAGTTTTAATTATTTTTTTCAAAGAAATTTAGCAATGCTTTTGAATTATATATAATTAGAAGTGATTTAAATTGAATATTTAAACCAATACTAATTAATATTTGTGAAAAAACTGTGCTCATCAACCTTCCTAAGTGCTTCATTACAATTGAGGTTAACTATCAGTTTGTATTATTATTATCAAGTAATGTTTTGATTAAAAAAATTACCACATTGTTTAATCAAAACATGTAATTTTTCTCTAGCAAATATAAGGACAAGAGACAAAAAACAATTGATGAATTAGTGTAAGTGCACTAAATTGAATACAAAAAAAGAGTTGTCATCTTATCGCTGTGAAACATCAAAAACTGGAGGTGGAACAAAGCCAAACTATTTTTAATAATGCCAAAGAAGTATAACTTCTTACGCGCGTACATAAGTACACGCACCCTTTTTTTTATAATTAGAGTTTATTGGTAATACCCCAAATATACTGATGTGATAATTATATTAAATGTATTTTAACGAGTAGTGTTCGCCTAGTGGCGTGCGACTTACATCCTTGTGGTCTTAGGTTCGACCCCGGCTGTGCGCCAATGGACTTTCTTTCTACGTGCGCATTTAACATTTGCTCGAACGGTGAAGAACCCGGCTTACCTTAGTCCCAAAAAGTCGACGTGTGTCAGGCAGAAGTGGCTGATCACCGACTTGGTTATTAGATTGAAAAATTATCATGAAACAGATACAAAAATCTGAGACCCAGGCTTAAAAAGTTTGTAGCGCCACTGATTTATTTTATTTATTTTTGTATTTTACCAAAGTCCATTCCAATAATTAGGATCATTTATTCGTCAAATTTATAAAAAGCTTTATTGATTAATTTACGCTTAACGAGAGCTTTGAATTTATTTAGTGATAATTCTCTAATTTCGCTTGGGAGTTTGTTGTAAAAACGAATACAATTTCCGTATAAGGAGTGGTTTATCTTCTGGCGCTACCAATCTTAGGCCCAACGATCTACAAGTTATGAACTTACAGTTTGACGTAAAATTAAACTTATGACTACGAACCTTGACTAGACTGTTACAGAATAAGTTATACAGGTACATAAAGATAAAACTAATTATTAAACCTGTAAATATTTATGACAGCTTAAACCACTAAGCCATCACTGCTCTATCACTAAATTATTATTTAAGATAATTTATTTGATATTTATATATGAGCTTAGCTTAATTTTCGTAAAACCTTTTTGCAGCCGAAGCTGTATATTTATTATCTATATGAATAAAAGAGGAATCGCAAAATATGTTGCCAAACTCAACACTCGAACTTATGCCTTGAACTCTGATAAAGGTTTTTATGGATTCAAAACTTGAAAAATGTGCACGGAATTACCTGAAAGTAGCATACCAAAATGTTCATATCTTGGTATGAAGCTACTTAAAAAAATAGGCAGTAAAATCATATAAAGGCGAAAGGTTAAGAGGTTCGTGGGGGCAGCTCGTATATATATAATACAAAAATACGATACAAAGCATTCATAAATAAAATTATTTTGTCTATAATACCCAACGGCTAAAAGCCTCCCGAGAGTATAATATGACGTAATATTGTAAGGTTATTAATATTGCATTTATATTAAGCTTGTGAAACATATTGTTAGTGCGTAGTTGACTCATTTTTACTTTGAATGTTCGACAAAATGTTGATGAATAAAATTAAAATGCAATTCATAATAAATAGAATATTACAAAATCCATGCTAATTTAATTGTTCTAAAAATAAAATAGCCGTAGCATAATAATTATATTATATTAATATTATATTATAAATAGGAGGTATCGTTTAGATTTTATTACAATTCATAACTCGACAAGACTGTTATGTAATCTCATCAAACAGTACAAATTACAAGTTTTCAACTAAATCAAAGTTATTACTATATGTACTTACACGCGTATGTTACGAATGACTCAATGGAAGTCGATAACAATGTATTCCTAATTATTTATTGTTTCCTATTAATTATGATGTTTTTGATAAAAATTTTACGTAATTAAGGTGTGTTTGCATTTTGCTAATTAGTTATTAGTTGTAAATAACAATGATAGTTTAAAAACCTATAATAAGGCATACAAAGCAGCCATTTTGCCCGTTGCGCCGTGTTGCGACTCGACGTTGTCGGTTCTCAAGGCGGCCGCCAGTTTCACGCGGGCATTTGGACGCTCGCATCGCGTGCAATACACATCGCGACTGACGCAACTAAATCAAACGAGTTCGAAATTTAAAATTAATATTTTCCTAAAATGGTCCGGACGAAGGACGGGGATGGGGGCATAAAAAGTTGCTCTATCGTTTCCGAAGTGCAAAAACGGCCTTGTCTATTCGACACGAATCACTCGAATTATGGGGATAGAGCTGAAAAATTGCGGTGCTGGGAGGAAGTTTGCGATACTGTCGTGCCGGGTTGGTCTACGCTGCCGGAGATTGAGAAGCTAGCGGCCGGTATGTGCTATCTAGTGTATTTGAGGATGTATGCGTTAGTTGGAAGCGCGTGCGGCTATACACGTCTACATCAACCGGTCGGCTTGCAATTGTCGCGTTCGCGCTGCGTGCTCTTTGTTCAATGCTTTCGAAACGTAGATTCGAATTAACGTGTAAACCGGAGTGTTTGCACTTTATGAGTTTTTTTAATGGCGGCCATTTTGTTGTATAAATTCTAAATATTGCTTGCGTAATTTTTGCTGCACCTATTTTTGTACTGACAGCCCATAAGTTGTTTATCGGGAGATAAGTAACATACATAACAATATGGTCGCTATCTTGCGGTAGGGCGTCATCTTGCAGTAATTTGACTAGTTTATCGCTTTTATTAAATTAATTATTTGCTCATTAATTTTGGTAGTGTTAGAAAATTCAAATTTAAATTTAAACGAGCATATTTAGGCATCTGTTTATTAAACTTGATTTTCTGTACGGATAAAAAAAGGAAATTCAATTTTATCCTTATACAAAGACGCGCAAGAAAATGGCGTAGCAATAAAATAAATTAAAATGAATTCACATGAATTACCTGTTAGGTTATTAAAAGATTGCAATATACGTGCGTGGGCTCGAGTAGGTGAATGTTTAAATGTTTTTTTTACACAATTGATTTTAAAATTAATGTTTATAATCGGCTAACATTTTTTATTTTATGTGTGGAAGGATCTGATTGTTATTTAAACGATATAAGATTTTTAAGTCTTTGTTTATTTTTTATATATATAAATTCCTGAAAAAAATAGTATTGAAGTCTATTAAATTTTTATATGGGCACAAAAAAATGTGGTAAATGAAAGCGTCTAAAGAAGACGCTTTTAATATAAGTACTAAAAAGGTATTATGAAAATATTAATTTGTTCTGTGGAGTGTGAAGTAGATTTTGAAAATAGAATTTGAAATATGAATCAGATTTCGCGGTTTCCACAGATTTCTCCAAAGTAGCTAATCTGTTCTTGCGTCATATTTTTTGTTTCGTTTTTACTTTTTAGCCTTCTCTTGACGTGATCTTGTATTTAATTTGAAATTGGAATTTATAATTGTCAGTTTTTACTTTTTAATGCTGTACGAAGAGTGCCTGACTCTGAAATATGCAAATCTTTGTTATCTATGATATTTTAATTATCATGTTTTCTTGCCAACTTAGGTATTTTACCTATTATGTAACACAGTAAAATTATTAGCGGTCAGTTTTATTTACTTAAACATAATTTTTAAATACCAAGAAATTGCACAATATTTTTAAAACGAATACTTAACATCTAATAAGGTTTAGGTCTTTACAAATGCGGAATAATATAAGATGTTCTATCGATCGTATTAATAAGTATCTCTTTAATAAACGCCATAAAATTTACGTATTATTTATATAATTCAAAAATACTGAGAACAAGCATAAACTTTAAATTCTTGTTGGGTGTTGCGTAACTGACTGAATCAACAAAAAAATCAGACAAGCGTTTATGTTCTGTAATTTACGAATAATAATATCTGTAGTGTTTTGAACAATGCAAACCAATAGCTTAGCAACATAAGTCGCTATTTTCATATCACTATGAATTCTTAACAAAAAACTACTAAAGTCATGTCAACCAATGTACGGCCCCAAGCAAAGTATAACAATTATAACCAACCATTGCAGGTTTTAAGAATTTGCGGAGAATATTTGGAGAACGCGCGCAGCAATGTATTTCAAACATTGAAATAATACGGTCAATTTTACATGAGTTAATGTATTGGTGTATATGCGGCATTCGTGACTCAATCGCAAGGGGCCGCACCGTCCCGATATCATGTTTAAGTGTTCAACAACCATTGATTATTTATATTTATTATATTTTAATGGTAGTACCGAAAACGAGCATTGTATAATATATTTTCCGTATGAACTTCGTTAAAACTTGAAGTTGCTTTATGGAGGTGTTGCGGCCTTGTAAGTAATTCAATGATAGCGCTATTTCAATTTAGACGTTTTACCATAATACGATTTATATTATATTTTGTGGTATCAAACTATATCTAATCTAATGATAAAATTTGAGATTTTTATTAATAAGCAAGTATTTTTTGTTAATAGCGATCTTTTGGCTTAAAATTTGGCTTTTAATTAATTTATTAATTAATGCGTACTAATTAATTATAAATTAAAAAACCTATTGCTTACGTTCATGCTAAGTAAAATATATTTTATTAACTTTGTATTTACATAAATATTTTCACAATTAAATAAGTATTACATTTTTCCGTATATATTTGTTTTTCTAGAATTTATAGAGTAGGTATAGACTGTAGACTTGTAGAGGATTGATATCCGCGCGTCAATCCGCTCCGCGCTGTGTGCATGAATTAGACGCGACGTGCAAACTTGTGATGACAAAATGGCGGCGTTTTACATACATTTTTATTTAATTGATCATACGCTAAAAACTAAACTGGTTAGGTTTTTTTTTATAAAATCCAAGGTAACTGACCTTATATAGAGTAGTAGTAACTATTAAAGTGGATTACAATTCAAAATATAATTTATTGGGCTTCTTTAATTTATTATTAATTCTCAATTATTTTCTTTTATTAGAAAAATTATGTTATGTGGTTATTGCTATGAATTTGGTAATTGGTATCCCATTGCTAACCACGCTCACGTTTTTACATATTCATAAACCGCAATATACCTACAATATTCTCTGTAATACGTATAACATTTTATTGATTTAAAGGGCAATCTCGTAATTAGGGCTGCAAGTTTCGAGTCAATTGCTTGTGGGTTGAAGATATTTTTTGTTCACGAAGCCAGTCTACAAAACCTGATTTAAATCTTACGGAAATTCGGTAATCAATTCGTCACTAGAGCGATAAGATGTCTAGGTATTCATAGTATTGGTATTTCCATTGTGCATTTTATTATGGTTCTAACTGAAGCGACTTAATGATTATCCAAATAATTTTAAGAAGCAATAAAATCTTAGTTTTCTAAACTCTTTAATTATTGGATTGTGCGTTATGTTTTTAATAACATGCACTTTGGGTTGCCACTCTACGTAATTATACTCAAGTCGAATGAGTCACTACCGTTTCATTCATACATACATTACATACATTCATTTCTCTTATACCTTCTTCTTCCTCGAACTGGATGTATGGTGCCCCTCAAAGCAATACCAACCGCTTTGGCGATTGAACATTCGTTATGTAAGTTATAGATTAACATTCGTGATTAGGCTTATGTGGCGGTTGCAGGAGACACGTGCATTATACGTTATTAGTACCGTATTTGACGTGAGCGTTATAGATTAACTTAATTAATATGAGTATACTTAACACTTGCAGACTGAATATGTTTAGTTCCTCTTCGGTAGTTATTCATTATTTCCTTGGTAACAAGTTGCTAGCTTGTGTTTAAAGGATTTTTAATGAAAAAAGATTTGTGGTAACAGATAAATATTATTTAAAAAAAAAGTATGCGTGTACTAGTGTACACACGTAAGAAGTGAAACTTCTTTATGACCTTATTTTACGAAAAATGATCTACTATATGCAACTTTCCAGAAATTGGTTAAATAAAGTTAACTTAGATAAAGTTTAAAAAAAGTCTTTTATTATTATAGACATAGAATAAATAAATAGAATACAAATAATACAATTATTTCATTCTACCTTATTACTACTAAGATTATTACAGAATTTCTTTAATTGTAATATAATTATTACTATCATTGTTATCGTTATTATATATTTTTGTTTTTAATATAAATTTTATATATTTTATGAACGCACTACGTGGTTTTTGACATAAATAATAATGATACTGCAATATTAATTAAATAACGTGAAAAAAATTATCCAATATAAATAACAGTACGTTGCGGTAAGCCTGAAGTTAGTTTTCAGAGGTAGGCAAACTTCACAAACAACAAATCTTGCAACTAATCAATAAACTGGTTCCGAAATAGCAGGACAAGAAAAAAATGGCGCGTAACGGAAAGATGTGACGACGTCACGTGACGTAATTTTTTTTCCAACGCCTATAAAGAAGTTTCACTTCAATAATATAATTAGATATAGATTATAAAACGGCAAAATATGCTTTCACTCTATTACCACAGAGTCATTGAAGCCAAGCAATACGCTTCATTTGGTAATTAAAATTAAGATATATTTTCCGTAAGCTTGGTAAAATACTAATCGTACATTCCTAAAGGAATTTTAACATTATATTATTACAAATTAAATTGTTGATAGTTATATTTGTTTTAATCCTATACTAATTATAAAACAATAAATCTTATGAACTACAGCGCATCTAACCGGCGGGAATCGATTTTGTTTTTGTCTATGTAAAAGATTATTGTGTATGCCTCTTGACACTTTTGTCTATGACAAAAACCAGAATTCGTAGTTTGGAATTATAAACATTAGGCGGGATGTGACTTCGTTATATTTACTAAGCTTTTATTCTTTTTACATTAATTCTTATTAAACTGTAACTCGACTACTTGCTGCGTCAGCGTACAGAGAAATATAGTCATCTCTCTCATTTACTTTATATACTCAGGTTACTAAACTAACGGTCAACTTTTGTTTTCATTTTATTGTTAATTAAACTGTGGTAAAATTCTACGGAGCTCGCAATGGTATAATGGATTCTACTTTTTCCCCACGTTATTTTTTTTTAAAGCAGTCTTGCTTAGAGCAATCGTTCTTACCTCATTAAAATAACGAAATAGACTCTGGCAACTGTGAACAATGGGAAACAGAACGCAATAAGTCCAATCACGCTTGAAAACCCCAAAACTAGATTACCTAGTCGTATTTTTTTAATACAGTCAAACCTGGATAAGCGAGAGTTCAAGGGTGCACAATATCATTCTCGCTTATAGAGGTTTCTCACTAACCCGAGTTATGCTCTTATGCTTATGCTCTCGCTAATGCAGATACATGGGTTGCGTTTCTCTCTTATAGAGGTACGCAGCAATAACAAGTCACAGCAAGTGCGACCGTCTCAAACGAATTTAAAGTACATAATATAAATAAATAAAGCCCGACTGTCGCTTATAGAGGTAAAGATATGTAGCAGTCTCACTTACGGAGGTCCATGAGGGAAAAATGACTCTCTCTTACAGAGGTTTCTGTTTCTCGCTAATAGAGGTTTTGGGAGCTTAAAATGACGGGTCCCGGCTATTACTCTCACTTATAGAGTTTTATCACTTACCCAGTTCTCACTTTTCCAGGTTTGACTGTACTCATCTGTCTCTTTCCATCACACCGTAAACACAATTTGACAGAAAGAGTACTTCAGTTAAATGAGTGTAATTATTTTTATATTCTATACTTTATACTAGATCTCATAATTTATACATTATGGAAAAAACCTTACAGTATACATTATCAGTAGGACACTATGCAGGTGATAAACGGTTTGAATTAACCCTAATATAGTTGAAATATTTTGTATCTGTATTTAAGCTATTGTCAGCATCTGTTTTATACTGGCCAGTGACACCTGCCAACTCCAAACCATTCATTGTTTAAATCTAATTGTATTTTAAATTAAAAAAGTGCTTTAAATTACAGAAGAAACTAAAACAACTATCGTAAAATAATAATCCCGTTTCTAGAACAATCTCTTATAAAAAATGTAGAATAAAATTATTTCTTTTGTTAATGGCGAAACTTTGATATTAAAGCTATTTCGTCATGCGTCCTAATATAATATAATCACGTTTATAAATAAATCATATACCTAGAAGTATACCATGTATATGCTTTATTTATAATATGTAAAAACTATTGGTTGCGAAACATAAAAACTTAAAACGTATGTCAACCAGAAATTAAAATACAAAAGCGTTTAAAACGTAACCCAAATTGTTTGTCAGTACTTATAGATTTTCTCCTTTGCCTTTTAGCGTGTTAAAATAGAGCACGTTTATTTATTAATCAGTATTAAAAGACAAATGAAATAACTGTTAAATTAATTCTAAGTAATAACATTTCTTCTAGAGCCAATATAATATCTATTAATAACTCAGTATACCTAGAAATACCTAGAAATGCGCGCTATAGGGGAAATGTGAAGCCTCTCATTCGCGCGTCAACCGCGCCTCGAGTCGCTTGTTAGTCACGTAGAGTATACAATATCGTTATTTGTTATATATTTTAGTGCAATTGTAGGCCATAAATAAAATCTGTGGTGTTTAGTGTTCTATTTTCAAAAAACTCAAACTATTTTCTCTGTGGTTTGAGTGATGCATTTTTAATTTTAGTTCATTTTAAAATCAATTAGTATTTGAATTTTATCGTTCGCGTTCGTATTTTAAAACAAAGATTGTATTTGACCTCATTACGTTTTCTTTTATTACAAATTATTTTAGGACGTGTTTAGTTTGGTATTGTTTTTAAGGATTTCGAATAAGTTTGAATTTATTATCTGTAATAACACTTATTATCATAATAAGTATAATTATTATCTATTGTTCCAACTATAAAAGTTTTTGCGAATGAAACGAGTTTCTGTGTTGAAAATAAGAGATTTTGACAGCAACGCTAAGCTGCCATTTACTTTTTGCTCATTATAATTTATGTAGTTAAATGTAAATTGTTATAAATAAATTGTATTATATTTGTGATAAAACCAGCAGAGTGGGAATTTGAGGTCGCCTCTCACCAATGGGTAGGTATTATTTACACGGCATTTTTCAAACATGGCAACCAGTACTTGTTTCAAGGACATTTGTACTGGATTATCGAATAACTATTGTAATGAAATTAACACCGTGAATACGTTTTGAATATCACATTTATAGTGCACGTTGTGTTCATTGTTTAATATAAATTACAGAAAATGTCCGATAAACAATAAACATGTTATTCATATTTACTTTTTACATTAATTACAAGTCCATTGCCGTATAATGAAACTTATAAATTCACGTTGAAACTGTAGAATCGATTTTGATAATATTTAATACGCATTACGCATGCGAAGATATTAATATCACAATTAAAACGTAACATTTTAAACATATTATACAATTATTATTTTCCTGTTTATATCAAGTTAATTATATTTTTAATATTCTTATTTGGTTTTTTGATGTCTTAATAAATTGTTGAGGAAAATTATTATAACCTTTGTTGATTTGAGTTAGTCATATTAAAAACCGTATTCAGAATCGTAAATTAAGAGTTATTTATATTTTTTAAATCTAAAGATTAAAAACCAAAATAGGTTTTCCAATTATGGGACATTACATTTTGTTAATGAGTTGCACCGTTTTTTATTTAATTATTTAATACATAGAGATTTATGACTCTAAATGCGGCCAAAAATGGCTATATTATTTAATAGCCTTTATTAAATCTCTCATATCATGGCTTAGAGACTATATATTTCTCTAGTTTTTATAAATTGTAATATTTCCATTACATTTATTTCATATGCAATTTTTTACTGATATATGTACATACATTAGTGTTTTTTGTTGATTCTAAAAAACTCTTAAAGAATCTTTATCTGTGTTACCAATTTTTTAATTCTTTCTATAGAACGGGGCAAACCTGATGTTAAGTGATATCGACGTCCATGGACACTCGATGCCAGAGGGTTCGCGAGTGCGTTGCCGGTGTTGCGTTGTGTGTTTACGTTTATATACAATTAATTTGTTTGCACCTATTAGCAGTAACACAACACAAAAACAAGATAAAAGAATACAAAGAAAACGATACGATATAAATTATATCTTATATATATAACTTACGAATAATATTTGAAAACAAATTTATTTCCTACCTTTTCGCTTAGCTAAGGTCGCTTAGGTAAGGTCTTACTTTCATTTTCGAAAAAAATAGGGTAGGCCCTTTTTTATACCCGAGGTGGAATGCTTTTGGCAGGGCAGGTCATCATTATCATTTCTATCACAAATTTGATAATGTACCCTTTTATTTACACAAAAGAGGATTACGTTATATCGAATAATTTCACCTGCCTAGTACACTATCGACGTTTAGAGCGACGGCTGATATCTTTAAAATGAAACACCCCTTATATGAGGTCCGTGACCCTCCACGGCCAGACATTTCCAGCAAACCAACGTTTTTTACGACATGCCGGAAAAAATTTCTCCAAATGTGTCCTTTTCCAAGGTCTTGGCATTTTATTCATAATTCTAGTTTTGTTTTGTTAATTTGGCACGATTGTTTTCAGGTAAAGAAGTGCAAAAAAGATGGCGATCGATCCGCGATTCATATACGAAAGCGTATCGACAGGGCAAATGCCCTCCGCCGGAACAATGTGCGCCCGGAAGCCGACGTTTCCAATACCATAGACAAATGTCATTCCTACTACGAGCTTTACAGAACAAGTAAGTGACAGATCACGCTGAAACTAATTAATATGAAATTTAAGAATATAGGTTTATAATTTATAATAATTTTCCAAAAAACACAACATCTTCCTATTAAAAATCGACTTATTGTACAACTTTTGGAAAAATGTATTATTCTATTTATGATTATTTGCGTGAAACATTATAATTTATCTTAATTTGATAACGTAATACATAATATGTTTATTTAAATAATGTTATGTTTTATCACTACAAATAATATAAGAATTGACTATGATGATATAGCTCATAGTGTAATTGTAAGTTCTATTGTACCTTTTTAGAAAAAATTGCACGCCATTGTGTGTAGCAGAATATGCTAACTTTAGATTGTACCACCATAACACTTTTGTACCATCTTCTTGCAAATTAATTATGATTATAAAATAGATTTTTAATTGTATTTAATTCAATCAAATTTAGATTTTTGTTTCCGTTTATTATTTATGTCGTTCAGACCTTCAGTTAAATAATTAAATTATAATAATTACGTCGCAAAAAGGTGTTTTTAAAATTAAATATAGTAGTATTTATTTAAATAACCATATCATTATAATAAACTACGTCTTAAAATAAAATATATATTATATTGTATCTCTCTCGTACACATAAGAGAGGTTTTCTTAAATATATTTTCTAAAACACCATCAGCCCAATATGGTCTCGAGTGTCAAAACTATCGTTAAATTAATTTATGAGATCGAATTGACCCATCTACATCCTTATAACAAAGATACGCCGTGAGTCACGCCTCACTTAGTCATTATTAAATTATACAGTTTTAAAGGCTTTAAGACCATATTCCAATTTGTGTATTAAGCTATAATCACTACTACAAATACGTCCTGTATATCTTAATACAATGGTGGAAAACAATTGTAAGTTTCAACAAATATAATAAAATTAAAAAGCCTGTACTTTTATTATTTGTACGTTCTTAATGTGTATGCCTAAAAAAATACAAGAAAATATGACATCACAAATTTAATACACATACACATCAATTATATTAGAACATAAGTAATCTACCAAAGGAAAAAATTAAAACAAACAAACAGAAAAATTAAAAATGTATAATAACTAAAACTAAAAAGATAAAAAATAAAATTAAAATAACAATAATAACCTAAACTAAATGAAATGAAAATTATATTGCTAAATACATACTAAATATCAAGTTAATGTGCCTAAAGTAATATAATATTTATTGTCTATCGGCAAACGGTTATTTATTTATTTACAGCTTGTCCTTCGACGAAGGCTCTCTCTAAATTTTTCCAATCTAGCGGTTCAAATCCCCATTGGACTTAACGCTACCTTTTTATAGTCCTCCCAACTTCTTATCTGCCTGCCTCTCTTCCTTATCACTCCGTTACGATTCTGTTCTATTTTTCTTTTTTTCTCTCATATTCAAATATCATTTATTCAGATAGGTAACACAATGTACACTTATGAACTTTACATTTACTGCCAGTTCTCAAATCAAGGGCGTAGAACGGAAGTGAAGAACTGGCAATAAACTCTCCGCCTATTTTTAATCTCCATGTTTTTTTTGTTTTACACAATGTTTGTAAGGAGCTGCAACCATTAAACCATGTTTCACATGACATCTTAAGTAATAAATTATTGTTAAATAAATAAATGACCCGTCTATCTCCACTTTAAATTTCGGTATGTGGTGTATGCGTGTTTAAACTGATTATTAACTACTTATTTTAATATCGCTTAATTTTATTTTATCAAATATAAAAATAGATCTAAAATTACAATGAGGCCATGTAATTCTTAAATAGGTCGCTTAATGTCACAAATAAATTTCCCAGCTGTATAAAATAGCACGCACATTTAACACGTGTAACTTGATTCAAACTCCGTCCTTTTTTGGTTTAAGATTAAATCAATAATGTTTCAATTATTCTTTTAAGTATTATATGTTTTTACGGTAAATTACATATTAACTCCTTTATTTAAAAGTAATTAAATTAATTTTTTTCTCATTCTTTTAGTAGGTATGTCCAAATTTGATTTACGCTGTTGTGTAGAGAGACAAATAAATAGGTACTTTAGATAACATGGTGAAATTGGATTGATTTTTTTGGGGTTTTAGTATAGTTAAAATATAAATTAATAACAATAATAAAACTATTCATGACAGAAATATGGTTGTGACAAAATTTATCTAACACCACACTAGGGAGAGCCCCTGTGTTGTGGGTAAATAGAACTCAGATATCATAAATAAACTTTAAAAAATCGTACTTTTTCGTCTCTTAATTTATTAATAATAAGTTTCTTTTTTTTTCAGAAAACCAAGATATTCCCAAGATAAATACGAGTCGTTCTCGGAAATATCAAATTCGCCCCAACATCCGGCACCAGAAGATATTCGCATCAAAACAGAAATAGACAAACCTCTCGATCTGAAAACCAAACCAGACGTACCAGAAACACAGGACAAGTGCAACCAGACTGTGCTAGACAATGACAGAAAGCAGGAAATGAAAAATGATGGGAACAACATCCTCCCAGAGGATCATTTCAATGATGATAAGATGTTTATGAACTCTTTGTTGCCATTATTTAAAAAAATGGACGACGACACGAGGCTCTTATGCAGAATAGAGGTATTGAAGATTATAAGATTCGCGTTGCAGGGCAATAAGTGCCTGGAAGCGTTAAAGATGGCGGAAGATAGCTTTTTCAAAAATGGAATGCTGAAGGAAGAGGGTAACAAGATGGAGTCAACACTGTCTATGACTACCAGGTCGGCGGATGGAAGCCGGCCTGTACGAAAACGGAGGGTAAGCGTTTAAAATTTAGTTTTCCGTTTTTTCGTTTAATCAAAGAAAGTCAAATAAAGAGTAATGTACAATTAAATTAGGTGTAAATTTTAAAGATATTTAACACCTGGAGGAAAACAGGAATGCGTTTGTTCCCATTTTTCTTTATTATCTTGCTTATTTATATTCTATAACCTTCAAATTTATTCGAACATATCTTTTTTATTTTCAGTTAAGATCTCCGTCACCGTTACCTGTTCCGCCGAAACGGAGGGGACCAGGTCGTCCCAGGAAGGTAAATCTAGTAATTATAAATAAAAATTAGTTTAAATATTAAGTTACAATAGCCACATGACTCATTTATTTATTTGCACTATATTCAATTTAATACAATTAAACAAAACTGTAACATTTCAGATCCGACCTCCGCCATCAGATTCAGATGAAGATCGTCCAAAGAAGCACAAATCGTTTCCTAAACTGAAAGTGTCCCCCATTGAAGTAAACCTACATCCAGATGAAGATTCCCTAAGTAAAGCCACAAGTGTCGCGCAACTGTCCACTCCGCTGTTTATGAAGGTATTTTGAAGTCTTATAATATGGGGCATTTGTATTTTGTCTTGAAATCCCCATATGGGGCATTTGTATTTTGTCTTGAAATTCCCATATGGGACAAATGTATGTTGTCACGGAATCCCCAAATTGTATTTTAAATGCGATGAGACACATTTATGTATCTGTTTCCATTGTTAAATTAATGAACTTAAGTGTGGTTTTACAGTGACGCTTCTGTCCGCGCGGGTGGTAAGCGCGCGGATGACCCGCTCGAAACTTAAAACTAGTTTTAAAGCTAGTCGCGCGGTTAGCCGCCTCGTACAGTCGTGATCGGTTTGCCGGCTCATACAGTCGTGATGAGACTTCTCGTATTTATTATACTATATTACTTATGGAAAAAAAGGCAACGACGACGACGTATACAAGTACATCCTTACAATGCCACTAGATTGCTGAGAGGCGCGTTCTCTACATCGTTTGCGGATTTAAGAGAACATAGTGACAAGTTCTTTAAACATTTTCGTCTGTCTATAACAACATTTGATGAATTACTCTGCAAGATAGAACATAATTTAAAAAGATCAAGTTTACGTCGAGCACCTATAGAACCAGTTGAAAAGTTGGCGATTACCTTAAGGTAAGTGGCATGAAAAATACTATTTAATTTTTAGTAATTACTTTATTTACAAATTTAAACAATCAAAAAAACAAAACTCGTTGAAATGTAATTAATAGAAATTGTCGTTTTCTGATGCAATATTTGGAAAGTGCTGTATTTCTTCACAGCTTTGCTGAACAGAATTATTGACTGAGGATCATATTGATTTGCTGTTTGATAGCCTTGCTGAGTGGTGGTACTAGACATTGATTCGTTGACTGGTAGCGTTTGGTTTGAAAAATATGATGAATTGGTTGCACACATTACAGAAGAATTAGAATCATTTTCTGGTGACATGACGGTGTAATATTGACTTGCTGATTGATAACCTCGTTGCGTAGTAGTATCATTAGAATGATTGGTTGTTGATGTTGTAGTAGAATTTGAGTTATGTTCTGGTGACAAGATGTTGGACGTCGACGTAGTGCCACTTGAAGTTGGCGCGGAGAGATCCATGGCGATTTGCAATACTTTGGCACGAAATAATAGTTTTTTATAACTGTTAAAAGATTTTAGTATTGGACCTAGAGAATTAAAAAATGACAAATCGTCAGAGCTTATGTCTGGCATATTTTTGTCTAACAAATCTACCAACTTTTTCTCAAACGCGGAGTTCTCTTGTACCCGTTCATGTTTCCTCTTCCGAGTCCATGTTGGTTTATCTTGGTCAGCCACCGGAGTAGAACTGTTTTGAGAAGAGCCAGAAATTTCGTCGTTATTTACTACGTGAGCTATTGTTTCAGATGAACTTGATTGTTCATTAATGTTGTACATAGATTCTGAAACTTCGTTTTCAGTGATACGATCAAGAAAGTTTAATTCTTTGAAATAAATGTATTTTGTAACGGTTTTTGCCCCGCTACCAGATGGTGCTTTTTTCATATTAGCTTTGGTTTTGAAATATCCATCTCTTGCAGATTTCCATCTTTGACGTAAAAGCTTATCTGAAACAAAAAAAATTGGCAAAAATAATATTTTGTGTATCACGCCTTCTCACTTGTACTTTTTATGAATCCTTTCCTACTTGGAACTTTCTACTAGTTCTAATAATTATATATATTTTTTTCAGATTCTTAGCTACTGGGAACACTTACTCCGATCTACATGTCACATACAGAATGGGCGTTACTACTATAAGCAAAATCGTCAAGGAAGTTTGCTGTGAGATATGGGAAAAACTACGCGAAGAATGCATTCCTCAACCGACAACGCAAATGTGGCAACGTATTAGTGCAGAGTTTGAGATGTATGCAAACTTTCCTAACTGTTGTGGGGCAATAGATGGTAAACATATACGCATAGTTAATCCCGCAGGTGGAGGGTCAATGTTTTACAATTACAAACATTTTTATTCTATTGTCCTTCTGGCAATGTGCGATGCCAACTATTGCTTTACTTATGTCAACATTACAACATTGTCACACTCCACTCCGGATCGCCGAGGTGTTCGGTCGCATTGACTGGTAAACCGTATCAATATTGCCCTCAAACTTTACTTGAAACAACGGCGCCAAGCAGTCTACGGAGCAAGAGTGTGAGTAAGACACTACGCAAAGAACGAAACGCATATACATCACATTGCCCGTCGTCGCGTGGGCTCCGCCTTCTTACACGCACACCACGATCCCTACACACGTTGCCTCGACGCCGCGCACCTCTACACCTGCGCAAGCGCAACCTGCCCCAACGATCAACGTTTCGACCCGACGGCAAATTTAGGCCTACGCGCTAATTTAATTATTTAGTCCTGCAAAATGTCAACTGTGCGCACGCCTCCCGATACTAAATTGATTGCAACCACAACGACACCGCTTAACCGTTACGCCTCTGACCCACAATTGGACACTTCAAGAGGTAAAATAGACAATACCGACCAATTTTCGTTTATCTCGAGGAGAACAAAGAGGAAACATAATGAAATTACAGACGGAATGTCTCAACTTCTTAGCATGTTTAATGAATTTTCATCAAAACAGGATACAAAGATGGCAAACTTAAATGCTTCTATTACCACTGTAATAGAACAAAATATAGACATCCAAAAAACAGTTGAGTTTATCTCTAGTAAATATGATGAAATGTTAATAACAATGCAAAAGCTCCAGGAGGAAAACCTGTCATACAAGAAGCAGATAAATTCACTAGAGACTAAAATAGACATGCTGGAAAAAAACTCCCACGCTACAAAACTTGAAATTCGTAATGTTCCTAAGTCTGGACAAGAGAACAAAGAGACCCTCACACGTATAGTGAAAAATATTGGTACTGCCGTTGGCTTAAACCCCACCCTGGCATCGAGTGAAGTAAGAGATATTTACCGTACGAAATCCTCTTCAATAATCATCGACTTCACCACGACATCAATTAGAGACTCACTCCTAGTTAAATCCAAATCGTTCAACAAGGAAATGAAGGGGTCGAAAATGCCTCTGCTAAATACGTCCCATTTAAATATACCTGGGCCCGCCCACACTATATATATATCGGAACACCTGACGTTAAAATCAAAACACATATTTTTTCTGGCCAGAGGGCTTGTTAAAGGTAAGAAGATTGCTGCATGCTGGACATCTTACAGCAAAGTCTACATCAGGGTGGCTGAGGGTCAACCGTCGATGCGCGTTGACACAGAGGAAGACTTACAGAAATACGGAATTCAGCCTTAGTGTATACTTTAAGTTTATTCACGTGTTACTGTACCTTATACCTTTTAATTTATTGTTTTTAGTCCTATATAATTTTTGTTATCTATTTGTGCATGCCGGTGAGCGGAGTTTAAGGAAACCGCATATATCACAAACCTATATTTTTAAAAACTACTACACATATATTATACAAACATACACAATACTCATACACCACTCACTCAACTATAGCCAGTCTAGTATACCTATTATGCCTGCTAGAACTATCGCAAAATACTATATCCTAAGTACCAATAAACTTAACTTACATTCACGTCCTATTTGTGTGCACAGTCCGACCCAACTAAATCACAGTGTATAGACAAATAAACGATAGTAACCTTTTATATAACGCACTAGATTCCTACAAAAATATTCAATTTTCAATCTGTGATCCTGAGGAATGTCAAAATGTGATCAAAAGTACTAGCAAATCCTTATCAATCCTGTCGCAAAATATAAGGAGTTTACCCTGTAATATTAATAGTTTTATCACTCTAGTAATGCGAATTAATATGTCCTGGGATTTACTCGTTTTAACCGAATGCTGGCTTCCGTCTACTAAATCTATACCAAATATACAAGGATACAACTACGCTGCCACTTTAAATAACTTAACACAAAATGAAGGAGTCATAGTCTATTATAGGAAAGATTCTAGCCCACTCATCGAGGAACCCCAAGAATTTCATGACGCTAACTGTTTAGTAATTAAATTTGATCCCTCTACTGTCATCATTTCCATCTATCGTCCACCAGGATATAGAGAGCCATTAATTTTTATTAATTCATTAAACCTACTTTTAAATAAATTAAAATCTTATAAAAACATAATTATTATAGGTGACATAAATATTGACATTGCACAAGGGACAAGTGACCAGCGCTCATGGGACTATCTGAATCTGCTTGCAGAGTTTAACATCCACCCCGGGTATAACGTTCCTACCCACAACCGAACATGTTTGGACCATATTATGGTTAAATCAGATAATGAAGCACACTGCCTTATAATTCACTCTTCCATAACCGATCATAACAGTGTTGCGCTCCTCTTAACGATCGAAAAGGACTATCCTCTAACTCCCCTTCAATATAAAAGCAGTATCAACCTTGCTGGCTTAGATTTAGCGATTCAGGGACTAGATTTTTCGCACTTGTATTGTCTGAAAAATGTGAATGAGGTAGCTAGGTTATTTAGAGACTTATTGACAAAAGCTATTACCGATAACACCAAAGAGTTAGTTGTACCCAGACGTAAAAGAATTATTAAACCCTGGGTGACACCTGGGCTCCTCAGATGTATGCGTAACAGGGATAAACTTCACAAAAAAACTAAAAAGAACCCAGCTGACGAAATTTTAGCAGTGACATATAAAAGATACAGAACATTCTGTAATTCGTTATTAAAAAAGGCTAGGCGTGCATATGAAAGGGAAGAAATTAACAAACATAATAAAAATAGTAGGAAACTCTGGGAGACCATCAATAATATTACTCAATACAAAAAACCTAGATCATCATCTACAGAACTTTTGAAAAATTGTAATCCACAAGAAAAAGTAAACAGTGTAAACTCATTCCTTGCAAATGTGGGGAAAAACATTGCTACTGGCCTAGGTAATTATAATTGTAATTGCTCCTATGTGACCACTACACCACCCCCATTAATTAATTCTCTTGTCCTCTTGCCCACTGACAAATCAGAAGTTGAGAGCTTGGTGATGAACCTGCGAGATAAATGTGCTGTTGGTAACGATATGATATCTGGCCGACTTCTCAAACAACATGTCAAAGTTTTGGTACCACCCATCACTTACATATGCAACCTCTCCATGGAAACAGGTGTGTTTCCGGAAATCTACAAGAAAGCTCTCATAACGCCTATCTACAAGGGAGGTGACAGAAGCCTTGTAGACAACTATAGGCCTATCTCCTTACTTCCCATCCTGTCCAAAATCTTGGAACGATTATTGAACAGGCGATTGGTTGATTTCCTCGACAAACACAATATTATTTCAGACTCCCAATATGGTTTTCGTTTCGGTAGGTCTACTGATGATGCAGTTCATAGCTTGACCGATTTTATTGTTAGAAATATGGACAGGAGGGAAAAAGTGATTGGTGTGTTCATTGATTTGTGCAAAGCGTTTGACACTGTTTCGGTAGAAATCCTCTTGCACAGAATGGAGAGGTTGGGCATCAGGGGTATACCTCACCAACTCTTCACGAGTTACATGTCTGAACGCACGCAAGTTGTGAGGGTGGGAGAGTGGACTAGCATCGAGTTACCTGTCACCTTCGGTGTGCCGCAGGGCAGCGTTCTTGGGCCCACATTGTTCCTCATTTACATTAATGAATTATGTGGGATGAACCTAAGAAATGGTAAAATTGTGGCCTTTGCTGATGACGCAGCCTTAGTGTTCCATGGTCAAGATTGGTTTGAGGCCTTTCGACATGCTCAGCGGGGTCTGAATTTGGTATCGGATTGGCTACATCGCAGTTCTCTGGCCCTTAACACAGAAAAGACCAAATTCATGACCTTCGCAATGTCGAAGCGCGACATTCCTTCTGGTCTGGCACTTGTGTCACATGCTGGTTCATGTGTGACCGGGGAGCACTGTGGGTGTCCAAAGCTCAACTCCGCAGGCACAGTGAAGTACTTGGGAGTCATGCTAGATACCTATCTAAATTTCCAAGCTCATATTGACCTACTGGCAGGTAGAATTAGAAAACTGATTTATGTATTCAAAATTTTGAGGCACATTGCTAATAACACAATTATAAAAACTGTCTACCTGTCGCTAGGTCAATCCATTCTGAGCTATTGCATCTCTACTTGGGGTGGCTCAGCAAAAACCCACCTTCTGAAAATAGAGAGAGCTCAGAGGGCAATACTCAAGGTCAGTGCCTCCCTTCCCTTCATTTGTCCCACCACAGAGGTATACAGACATTGGAAGGTACTCTCTGTGCGTCAAATGTTCATTCTTGCCACAATTTTACGCAAGCACTCACTTATTAATTATGACCAACACCTTAAAGATAACAAGCGTAGAAAAGGCATAGTGTGCACTTCAAAGCCCTTTCGCACAAGTTTTGCCCAGAAATTCTTCTGTTTTTTGGGGGATTACTTGTATAATAAGGTCAACTCTTCCCTTTCCACATATCCCCTAACTAAACACGAGTGCAAGAAGACGGTTGCACTGTGGCTACTGGACCTCAACTATGAGGATACAGAAAAAATGCTGACAATAATTAAATAGTTGAGTTTAGAGTTGATTTTTAGTATAATAGTTTTAGCTTCAATAGACTAACACTTAAGTAATAAAATATAAAACATACACAGACACACACCCACACACATACACATAATTTACACATACACACGTACCCCATCTGGTTTCCTCTATATACTATATATTGTAATGTATTGTATTGTATTGTATCTTCTGTCAATCCGAAGTAGTGGAGGCCTGATGACCTGTAACACAGGTACTCTTACCTTTATCAGGCATCAGTCTCACACAGACTTGCTTTTTCCATTAACAGAAGTGAGAATATAACTGTCACTTGCCTATGTTCTAAGTTTAAGTTTTTGTGAGAAAAATAAATAAATAAAAGCTATCCCAATAAAAGCTAACATTGGTTCTTGTGGGAAAAACTCTGATTCCACCATATTCCAAAACAGTGTACTATTTCAACAGTTAGAAAGAAATAATTTAAGGTTACCGGCTCCAAAGTACCTGCAAGGATCTAATATTGTGGCACCTCATATAATAATTGGTGATGGTGCATTTGGCATATCGAACTATGTGATGAAACCTTATCTTCGAAATGATATGAGCCACAAACAGAAGATATTCAATTACCGTCTAAGTCGTGCCAGAAGGTACATAGAATGTACATTTGGAATATTATCAAACAAGTTTAGAGTGTTTCACACTCCAATGAACGTGAGCTTCTCCAACGCAAAAACTATAGTTAAAGCTTGTTGCGTATTACACAATTTTATCAGAGTGCGAGACGGCTACAATGGAAATGACTTATTAAGCATTAGTGGTTTGATTGACATGAATCTTCAGCCAGTTTCTAGAACAGGAAACACACTACGCGAAGTGTTTGCCGATTACTTTATATCGCCTGCTGGCAGTGTTTCGTGGCAAGACAGACAAATATTCTAGAGGTACCTACCTAGTACCTATTTGAAAGAACTTATTAGTGGAATTGAATTCATTGTCGTCCTTTCAAGTATAGACTATAGTGATGATTCATAGTCATTTATGACTAATCTAATGTGTTTTTTCTGCAAGTAAACCGTTGAAGAGTGTTCAAATCATCAAAAATCCACAATCTTATTTTTAAATCCATAAAGATAGTGCTCCAACAAGTAAAATTGATCAATTTACCTTATCTTACCCTACATATCGATTGAAATCTTACCCTACATATGTTTAACGACGACTTTTATACCAACATAATATAAATTTTATATTATAAATGTAATTGATAAAAATACAAATTTTATAAACATACCTTTGTCTTTCTTTATGTAATTTTCTCCAAAGATTGCTTCTCCAACTTCTTCCCAAGCCTTATTTTTTGCGTCTTTGTTTTTGTATAATTCGTTCGATGGATCCCACAGCAACGGTCGAAAGCGAACTTCTTCAATCAATCGACCCGTATCGATATAATTCGCATTCATTTTGGCGACGACGGTACGCATGCGCGCGTCCGACCGGCGAGACTGTGCAACGCACACTGAACACAATGACTCCTCGCCCGCACGCGGTTGAAAAGCGCGGCTGAATTGCCGTCAACGCGGGCCATCCGCGTGACTATGTAATGATCCATGAGACGCAAAGCTCGTGGCCCGCGACGCTTACCAACTGCGCTGGCGAAAGCGTCACTGTAAAACCACACTAAGGCGGTTTTAAAAGTGTGAACTTGTGTTATTGTATGCTGAACCATTATTAATCTTTCGACGGTGTTTTCACATAAAAAAAAATTAGTTTTGGAGTAAACTCACCTCACTACATCACTCATTTACTTACCTTACATTAGTTTTGCCAAGTATTCCTATACAAATACTTCTTGACAGTAACGCTAAAAACTTGCACAGCGCATACAATGTGTATGGTTTACTACAATAATATTGGAAAGATTTCTGTTCTTACTAAGGTCGACAGAACGCTGCTATTATCGGTAAATTTGTCGAATCACGGCTCCACCAACAGCTCCAAATTTTCCTGTGGTTCTTTACGACATACAAGTCGTAAAGATCGATAGAAAAAAAAACTGGGAAAAAAGGTTACGTATAAAGCCAAAAATTTGTACCTTCCTACATTGATTTCACAGAACATGATTCATTTATATGGAGGTAATGAGCATGCGCCAACGTTGTATAGCATGTGGCGTGTGTTTTAAGGTGGAGCTGTGATTCTACAATATTACCAAAGTATTTTATACAAAATTATTCACAAAGGTCAAATTGTCACTTTGTTACAGATGTATAATTTGGAACGATCAAAGCCAGAGACCGACATGCAAGTATCTGTTAAAACGGAACCGTCTGAAAGTATGGAACCAAATTTTTACATTTAGTCGCGTAGTTATAGGTGTTAATATAGATAATAATAGATTATAGAAAATTAATTTCAAATATTGTTATTTTTTTACTTTTTGGCAATGGTTATTTCTCGGATGTAGTATGTTACCATTGAAATATCGGAAATTTCCCGCATTGTTTTACTTCATTTCCTATATTTAGGTAGTATTAGAAATGTATGTGATTTAGTATGTTTGGTACGAAAGTTTTTAGCAAGTATTGTTAAAAGCGTTTCTGGTTTAGTTTTAAGTTAGGTAGAAAAGAATTTATTACGAATTGGCAGTATTTTGAGAGTTGTATTTAAATAATTGAGAAGGGAAGAGTACTTTTATACTGAAATTAAGAAAATGTTATACATTCCGTGTTCGACAATTGACATATATGTAAGTTGAATGTGATTTTGGATTAAATAAAAATATTTTGATGTATTTTCTTTTGTATGCTTGGATTATTTAAGACAAATTTATGGTAAGTATATGTAATATTTTAGAGGTATAACGTATGTGCCATAACCTAGTAAATTTAACACACTACTAATACCTTTTCAATATTATTCCTATACTATAAATCTACCCTACTTAAGTGCGTGGTAATCTATATCTAAGAAACTACTGAACAGACTTCGATAAATTTTGGAGAATGTTTTAGTGCGATAGCAAATAGTATCAAATAGGTAGAGAAATATGGCGTATAGTTTGATTGCGGTATCAAATTTGGTCAGCCAACCTGACTGTCACGAATTAGGTATATTCCAAACCATTCAATACAAAGGTGGCATCTCGATAAGTCTATACACATAGGCGTAGAATACGAATTCTCACAAAATCACCTTAAGTTAAAATCTATTTCATATGAAGATGAATTATAATATCCAATCGTAGTAATTGAGTACTCGTAATCGTTGTAGTCAAATTTGTAGCAAAGGCCTGTTTAATACAAAACAGACTGGAGGAATAAATCTGGGCAATTCTGAATACCAGATCTGCAATTAAAACTTATATATCCATAAAAAAAGAAAGGCTTTCTAAATCAAATAAAACATTACATTCTCATCATTTATTCATCTTCTCGGTACTTAACCTAACTTAAAAATATTAGGCACTTAACTAATATTGGTCATAAATTGAAACTTTTTAATATTTTTCAATTAACCATAATGGTCGCCTGTCTTAAAATTTCAATAATGAATTTATTTAGTTTTATTTTGCTTTCGGCGGTGGTCTAAATATTCCAGTGACGACAGCGTGGTCTCTTTCGTACGGTTCTAGCGTAAGTTGCTCTTGAGGTTTTAACTTTTCAGCTGTGAGTCGTTTGACTTCCGCCGCGAATACTGCTTCCGGTTGCGCCGTTGAATCTATACAGGAAGCCTGAAAATACAATTATTATGATTAAACCGTGATAGATCTTTTATTTAAAAATTTAACTAGCCATAATAGTTTTAAACAACTTTAAAAAGCCTAAACGTAGATTTAACTGAACAAGTTAGTGTGATACATAACACCAAATTGGATCTTCGAGAAATACTTTTTGTTACTATCAAATTTGAAACTTTTAAAGGATTTAGTAATAAGCTTAAGTACGGTAAAAAGGTAAATAACTAATATTATCAGACAACACTTTAAACTCACCTTAATAGAAATAACAAAATGTCCACCATTTTTCAAAAAATGTTGAGCGTTGAGACTAACAATTCTGGCCTGGTCAGGCTGTGCCACATCAGCAAATATGACATCAACCATGCCAACTAGCATTCTGAAAAACATTCTCTGTTGTAGTTTAATTTAAGGCAATTATATTTTAACTTGAGGAAAAATTGCATCAGAGAGAGAGTTCAAAATTTATCTCAACATAACAAGTTTAGATCATTGTGTTTCATCATACATTATTCATGAAATATTTTAATTTTTGTGAAAACATAGAAATCATACCTATATTTGAGTGGATGTCTGGCATCTTCTATTATTGGAATAATATTTGTCCTCTTTTTGGCTACATTGATTAGATCTCTTCCCGACCTGTGTGAGAACTCTACTGCATATACTAAGCCTTCCTGTAACAAAGATGAAATTTAATTAAAACCTTGTTATTTTTATTTCCTTTTCTCTAGATTTTATAACATCTAGATGATTTTGTTCATAAATTTAAAAGCATATCTTACTAATTATTGCTTATAAGTTAGAAACTGATGATTAAAGTTATTTGGCAAGTGATAACTAAGTGTAATGTATGTTTAAATGACATAATAGCGAACTTACCGGTCCAACAATATCAGACACATGACTAACTGTGGTACCACTTGCTGCTCCCAAATATAGCACGCGTTTCCCTGGCATAATGTGTATTCCATCTACTCCACCCATTATGGCAGCAGCTAACTTTGATCTGAAGGGATTCCATACTCTGTATTCAATTTTTTCACCATTTTCCTAAAATTTTAAATAGTTGAGCAAGATAGTTCTGGATAAATCGGGTTTTGTTGGAGTATTAAGTCAATCAGAAGTGGGTATGTGGATATAGTCTTCATGAATAGGTCAAGATTAGAGGGACCACGATCATCATTTTGAATAAAAATATATTCTTTGTTTTTTGTCACCAGCAAGATTGAAACATGCTTATTTTGCTAAATTAAATGTTACAATGGTTGTTATTTTATATCAATATACAAACCTCCACTGATATTCTTTTTTCTCCATATACTTCTGATCCAGGGACTAAATTCTTTGTAACTAGTGCATCTTCTTTGCCTCTGGCGACAAACACTCCATTGTGTCTAAAATAGTTAAACATATTTATTGATTTCGTTTTACGCAATTAAAGTTTCTTATATCTATAAATTTTTCTGTCAGTTAAGTAGGTTGGCTTCAAGCATTTGCTTTCAGAAGAACGAAAGTTATATTGAGTAGCATCATATAATTGTTTTTTTAATTTAATTTTGGTAATTTTACAAACAGCCTAAATTCAAAATGTTAAGCATTTATTGTTTGATTACGAATTGAAATACAAACCTGTGAGGTTCAACAAAAACTTGTTTGCCTCCTTGAAAGCCTCCACGTCTGGGAGGCCCACCTCGTCCACCCCGACCTAATACAAAACATAATGTTAACATTTTGTCCGCATATTATTTATTATATGTATAATAAAAAAAAACAATCAGAAGTGGGTATGTGGTATCATAGTCTTCATGAATAGGTCAAGATTAGAGGGACCAGTTTATCATCATTTCATATCTAGCATAATATTACATTTACTGCCTTCATTGATCTTATATATACATGTGAATTTGTCTTAAGTCAAATGAGAGGTCTAGTTTTATAATAGAATATTAATTTTCTACAAGTTTGTCAAACCTATTAGCAAACCTATATATGTACTATAGCTGTAAGATGTAATTCAATCATATTGAACATCTTATAACTAACCTCCTCCACCTCCTCTGCCTCCAAATCCCCTGCCGCCTCCACCCCCTCTCTTTTCAAACTTGCCCCCGCCTCCTCCGAAGCCTCCTCTTCCACCTCCCCCGCCGCGGCCTCCGAAGCCTCCACGGCCCCCTCCACCCCCTCGGCCTCTGAAACCACCACCACCTCCGCCGCCACGGGAGTTGTTGAACTCTAAAAACATAAACAAATTGTGGTTGGTTGTTTGCGATCATAATTTTTATGAAGTACTATAGTCTATATAGTAAAAGTGAAATGAAACACTAAATGACAGAGTATGGCTGCAATGTGATCGAGAACATAGAAAAAGAAGATTCACACAATAGATATAACTGAATATTGTTTGTCAGTAGTTAGAAAACTCAAATAGGCCGCATGTATAGTTCATAATAATCTTTCGACAAATTTGAAACTAAATTAGCATTTAAACTTCTAAATCGCTTCAAACTGGAGCCGGTAAGTGAAAAAACGAGACAAATTTTCATACATTTTTGCTTCCCCGTGCCGGGCCGGTGTGTGGCCATTAAGTCGTAAGTTAATTATACTATATATATAAATTACTATTTGACCCAATAGCAAGTAAAATTTAGATTTAGGCCCAATGTTCAAGCCCAAGGCCAATAGTTCAGTGCAGCGTGGAGTAGGAAGACACATGGCTATAATTATAGTTAAATTAATATTTTACTTAGTAAAAACTAATCATTATATAGGAACTGCGATGCTGCTTTTAAAAATTGAAATATTTAATAACCCAAGATAATGATTTAGAATTAATTATTTGAGGTTATGTTTTGATGACCCGTACACGTGGTAGTTTACTTTATTCAAAAATAATATTATCAATGTAACAACATGTAAAATAAAAAGAAATCTCCATGTCTTTAATCGAATACCACAAATATAACCAAAACCTCCTGATGTAAGGTTAGGCATACTGAAATAACCTCTTTATTAAAAAATGGTGGAAATAATAAAATCTTTGGGATAATTTGAATTAGATATGTAAGCAATTATAGAAAAGAAAACATATAACGAAAACTTATATTATAAAACTTGTCGATATAGCGGTGATTGAAAATAAACCACGCGGTGAAACACGCGTCTCCTCAAAATACAAAGTAAAAAAAGGTTAAACTTACCAGGTTTCCCCATATTTGAAAGTTGATATTTTAACACAGAAAGTTTTGTGATATTCTTCTATTTATCTATTAAAATCAAATAAAAACTGAGTTTTGTAAATTAATGGGGCAGCAAGCGCTCTGCGCCCTGTTGCCGCTGCCGGAAATGAAACCATTTTGGAGAAGACCAATGTTGTCACCTCAAAAATTAACTTTCCCCCGACGGGTAAATCTCCCTAGTTGCTAGCTATACTTTAATTATTACCACTTTGAATAATGTAGTAACCAAACGCAAATCAAATTATCAGTAAGTTTAAAATAAAAAAGTAAAATTTTTCATTTAAATAGACATTAAACCTTACTTACGGGCACATAACACTTTTGTATCTGTATCTTTTATAAAAACCTACTGTGCCTCGAATAAGACTTTAAAAACAAAACATTAAAAGTCCTTCAATATTCTTTCTGTTAATTAATAAAATGTAGTAATAATTTTTATTATCAACTCGTATTAACTAAGAAATAAAAACACATTAATGTATTGTGGTTATTTCTTTAAGTAGGCGCTTGAGATGTTACCTAACGTAAGAGTAGAAGTAGACTTTTACAATTTAAGTAAAAGAATCAAAGTAGTTTTAACTTTTATTAACAATTACTATGTAAAAAATCTGTCATTGGTGAAGAAAAAACCACATCGCTGAACTTCACATTTAAACCCTCTCTTTGCGGTGTGCAACACATTAAACCTACAAAATAGGTGTCATTTAAGGGGAATGGACATAATCTAAGAAGTAACCACGATTTTTTATTAGTTGAGTATTTAATGCACACTGTATCCTCAATTTTACTGAGACGAATCCAAAATTTTTTGGGATCTCCGGTAAAAGCACCTGCGAAATAATAAATAAAACTTACATATAAATTTTTACTTTTTAGTCTGGAAAGGTAATCATTACATTTCAAGGCTTTAAATTATTATTATTTTTAGTAAATATTAAACATTTATGTAAATGGTAAAAAGTCGTTACCAGTCGCCCAATCAGATACTTCATTTGTTAACACACTGCCAATCATTGGCTGGCCATCATTATATTCCATTCCAGTTTTAAGCCAATGTTTCTCATCCAGATATATCATAAGACCGGCTTGATCATATAATTGTGAAAAATCTGCTTCTATGCAGGCCTGTAATTAATATACCTTCCTTACTACGGTATAAACTAAAATAAATTCTTGCGTTTATATAAAATTCTCTAAATATATTATTGCTCTTTACTACATACTACAAGTAAGTTTATTAAACTACAAATACTATTTTTCATGTTACGGCTGCGAAATCAAATTCAAAATCATTTATTTATATAGGTAACTTAATGTACACTTATGAACGACAAAAAAGAAATATAAATAAAATGCTACAAATTTTACATTTACTGCCAGGTCTCAAATCAAGGGCGTAGAACGGAAGATAACTAGCACGACCTTTAGGCTGAATTTAGTCTCACGCTCACCGTCAGCGCTCATAGATCAGCGCGTAGTTCGTCAGCGCTGACGCTCAGCGTGGTTCGTTTTAGTATCGTACTGACCGCCTTACTATACAGACGAAGACAAAAATGCGGAGTGTATTAGTTATTGCTGCTTTGTACTACCTATCTCAAAAAAATAAAAACCGGCGACGACGAAGACTGCTTTTTCATCCATTGATTGAGCAGAGAGCCGTTGCAGGAGACTTTGTCTGGTTATATAGCACTTTGAGGGCTGACGAAAGTTAATCCTTTAATTACTTTCGAATGTCAACAAGATATTTTTGTAGAATGGATCGGATGCATCCCACAATTTCTTCCTCAGGCGTACCTCATCGATAACTCGACCTGTATCCACTTCGCGATTTGCCATGACTGTACACGCTGACGACGTCCGCTCCGTTCGACACTACAACGCTCTCTGAAAGCATCAAAGCAGAGGCGCTCTAGCGATCGTCAGCGCTGACAGCTACGCGGCGCCGACGCGCGACGCGTGCGGCCGCGCAGCCATCAGCGTTGACCACCGTGCGCGCTTATAGCTACGCGTCATTCAAAAACGCTTTCTAGAAGTTCATATATCTCGACCATCAGCGCCAACGGTGCGCTTGTGGTCGGCGTGACACTAAATTCAGCCTTACTCCGATTTAGTTTTTATGACATTTTCTTTTTAAAAAATGGGGCACGTGGGTTATCTCTTATCTATATATATCCGATTTCGGTTGTTTAAGTTTGTTAAACTTGGAAACGAATATAATATGGACTACACCTACACTACACCACAAACAATAAAAGTAGTCATCTATTCTCTATAGTCTATGACGTACCCATCATACTTGTAAACACAAACAACAAGTTTCTTTCTAATCCAGTCAAAATAGACAAAAATAAGTCATAACTTAGCCAAAATTCGCATAGAGCTGAAAATTGGCAGAGACGTTAAATACATCATTATAAATGAAATGTCAAAAATCCCCTTCGATCCTACTTCTGCAAAAAAATTTATTCAAGGTCAAAAGTATAAAATTAAGGTTTTTTCCATTTTTCTCGAAAACAGTTAGTATTATCGTGAAAATAGATCAGACAAAAGTTGTAGATCATACAATTCTCTACAAAAATGGTTCAGTCACTTTTTCTCTTACGACTCACCATTCATGAGATATCGCGGTTTTAATCATTAGAAAATTCATATTTTACATAATATGCACTAAAATGCAGTCTGTATACGTCACCGGACGTTCAATATAAATGAAAATAAGAAACTATTCGTTTGTGTTACTTACACAATAAAACTTGTATAAATTAAATGAGGATTTTAAAATATAAGACTATACTGAGTAACATCTGCTAGCTACGTCATTGTTTGAGTGTGGAGGGTCGCATACCTGCCTATTTTTGAAGGAAGTAAATGAAATGACTCAGTATATACTGTTAGTTTTGAAAATTCCTGTGCAGTGAGCAGACGTGCTTTTTTTTTGCCGCCGCCCATGGACACTCTCAATGCCAGAGGGCTCGCGAGTGCGTTGCCGGCCTTTTAAGAATTGGTACGCTCTTTTCTTGAAGGACCCTAAGTCGAATTGGTTCGGAAATACTTCAGTGGGCAGCTGATTCCACATAGTGGTGGTGCGCGGCAAAAACTGCCTTGAAAAACGCTCAGTTGTGGAACGGCGGACGTCGAGGTGATACGGGTGGAATTTCGTATTCTGTCTCGACGTCCGATGATGAAGCTTATTGGTAATATTTTCAATTTTAATTTGTGCTGTTAAATAATTTAAACAAAATGTCAGAAGTTTGTTTTATTTGTGATAAACCTTTGAAAGAAAGTGAAGTCGTTGTTGTTGATCGTGGAATGAAGACTTTGATTGATGCAAGTGTTGAAAGAAATGATAATTTTTTTGAATACTTAAAAGACAAGCAATCTGTGACAGTCCACGTGCAGTGTCGTAAAATGTATACTCGAAAGAGTAGTATTGTTGCAGCTAAAAGACAGCGCGAGACAGAAGAAGGTAGTACATCCACGATAAGTCCACCTCATACTAGAGCACGAGTAAGTGAGCCAGATTTCAACTTTAAAAAATGTTGTTTATTTTGCGGCGATGAAGCAAATGAAGAAGCTGAAAAGAAGAAAGCACAGAATGTTCGTCGTAAAATTTATAACGTATCTACACTTGAATTTAAAGATTCCATTTTAAAGGTAGCTCGGACTCGTTCTGATGACGTAGCAAAAGCTGTTATTGCCCGCATTGGGTATGAATTTGACTTAGTTGCTGCTGAAGCTAAGTACCACAATAACTGTTATAATATCTTTCTGAGACACCACGGGATATAAAGTCGGTCGTCCCGAAGATGATTCAGTAAACTTGGCGATGGAGGAAATACAGTACATTGAAAATAATGATGATTGCCAATTTTCATTACAAGAATTGAAAGATATCGGCAAAAATCCAACTATAGATAATAAAACAATTAAAAGAAGATTAAAGTTAAAGTATGGTGATAAAATTATTATAACTGAGAAGAAAGGAAGCTTAACAACTATCTGTTTTATTGATAATCAGTACGATATTCTTAATAAAGCTTGGTATGAAAATAAAAAACAAAATACAAAAGAAGAACGATTCAGAATATTGAAAGCTGCTGCAGCAATTATTCGAGAGGATATTCAATCTGTAGTGATTGATAATGAAAATTATCCCCCGCCGAGTCAGATGTTTGAAAATATTAACAGCGATATTCCGGAGTCCTTGACTTATTTTTTGGAGCAAGTAATTTTAAAAAATCAACTTTTTAAAGTAGATCATTTGAAATTAATATGTAAATTAATATGTAGCCACTGTATAATGACTGCTGTTCGGCCTAGGTCTTTCAAATCAAGATTGCAATTGGGTTTATCAGTTTTTTTTCATCGACGATTTGGATCAAAACGTCTTATACAGATTTTTTCGTCTTTCGGATTGTGTGCATCATATAATGATACTATAATGTATGAGGCAGCAGCAGTTCTGCATCGTCTACCGCATATTTTGCCACCAAAAACTGGCACATTTATTCAGTATGTTGCAGACAATGCTGATATAAATGTACATACCTTAGACGGTCATAATACGCTTCACATCATGGGGATCATTAAAATTATTACTCCAAAAAGTTCAGTTATAGCAGAAGAGCCTATATTACGAACAAACATACTTCCTTCAGCGCAACATTTTGCAGAAAAAGCTCATGTGTCAATACAAGTCTATCAAACAGATAGTGTGGTAGGATATAGCAAAATAGCTGTGCAGGATTTTGATTATAAAAATAATACAACAACATCTTTACTTAAAAAAGTAGATATGTTATGGTTGTATGGGAAGTGGAAAAATTTATTATTGCCTGGTTGGAATGGTTATATTGAACATTTAACAAGTAATATTATAAATTTTTCGGAATCTCGAATTTATGTAGAATATGAATTTTCTAATGATTAAAACCGCGACATCTCATGAATGATGAGTCGTAAGAGAAAAAGTGACTGAACCATTTTTGTAGAGAATTGTATGATCTACAACTTTTGTCTGATCTATTTTCACGATAATACTAACTGTTTTCGAGAAAAATGGAAAAAACCTTAATTTTATACTTTTGACCTTGAATAATTTTTTTTGCAGAAGTAGGATCGAAGGGGATTTTTGACATTTCATTTATAATGATGTATTTAACGTCTCTGCCAATTTTCAGCTCTATGCGAATTTTGGCTAAGTCAAATGCCTATTTTGACTGGACTATTCGTGTTAATTATCATTCTGTGATTTGTGTTATTATATTACACAAATATACATATACTCTCCGAAAAAATAAAATCCAAGATAGTATAAGGATTAGACGGCGAAAACATATTTTTGTATATATATGTATATAGCGTGCTGCCTCAACATCGAGTAGACTAATCTATATTCTATAACCGTTTGGCGTCACGTGACTGACGTATAAAACCAATATTTATGTTTATAATGGATTTTATGATAAATAAATAATCATAAACATTTTAAACCATGTTTTATACAGATTATTCTCAATAAGACATTATTTTTAATTCTATCGAATAGTTTTTTGAGATTGTCATTTGTCTATGTTTATAAGATTGACAGTGTAAATGTGATTGTGTGACTCTGTAAGCGATTGGAACTTAGAACTTATACTTAGAGGCTAGGCGGTAGGCCGCTAGACTCTAGAGTTCTAGAATCTAGACTCTAGAGCTCTTTTGTCTAAGTGTCATCCGCGTACGCCTCAATCCTCATTCTAAATTGAAAATTCTAATAATTCATTTCCCAGTCGATTGCTGGACTTTGCATAATTTTTGTTACGATTTCAAATTCAATATGTAATTTCTGGCAATGACAGTGTCTATTAAAATAATAAGAACCAGAAATGGTGCAAATTGAGATAACCTATAAGAGGATGACTTATGACGTATCTAGACCGTATGATTAGAATAATTTCTTCGAACGGTGGACCAGAATTCATTAGAAACATATTTGGGACTTTGCGGAAAATTGATACAAATATACTATACATGCGTGCACCGTGTTTGGCTGCGCGGATGAAATTATTAAAACAATTGTCATTTGCTGTAAAAACTCAAGAAAGATTTGTATAATATATTTTACGTAGAAACTATAAAGGTTATTTTTAAAGTTAATAACTTTGTAAAACTATGCGTTTCTATCAGTACATACTATATTTTATGTTCACAAAAGTTGTGGATTCCATCAATGAAATTACTTTAAAATGTATCGGATGGCAAATCTTTATTTAAGAAAATAGCTGGATTTTTACTTTAAGTAAAACTAAGGCGTGTAAACTAGGATAAACATTTATATTTACATACTATATTATCATTAACACCCTGGGCAAGAGATAATTAAGTATGCGACAAAACCATTTACGATCTTTAACTCAACGTAATAAATCCTCGGACTCACCTGAAATGTGAAATCATCTTTAATGTCAATGCCATACAAATGTCCGGTATTAAAATGAAATTTATACCATGTTTCTTGCCAGAAATCTGTTTTGTTGTCTGTCGATACTTTAAGCACATTGTCACATAAATTCCAGTTACTTGGTTCATTTAACCATTGAAAATCATTTAATTTTATTGTATTAAATTGCTCAGATTGCATTATTATTGAGTCTTGAATACGTAACGATTTTATCAACGACTTTATTATCATACTGAAATCTTATAGATTCTTGCTGAAGAGTACTTTGTCATAGATGATTCTGACATCTGACAGATCCTAGAAGTCTATCAGAGCCGTAGATCAAAATGCAACAGTGCTTAAATTACTAATGAAAAGTGATGAACCTAGAACATTTATCTAATTCTAGAATTGGGATTGTTGTCTAAAATCTCTTTCTATTTACATACAAAATATGCAAAATAAAAAAAGTATTAAATAGTATCATTTATTTCTAATCTTCTGATTGATCACTAGTTTCGTCATCATCATCATCGTCATCGCCTTCATCAACCTCATCCTCCCACTGTTCATCTGCACTGGAGTCTGCTTTTTCAATTTCCATCTCTTCATCTGATGATGTATCTGAACATAATGTTGAATTATAATCTACTTCTGACTTAGCCAATTATAGCTATATTTAGCTAATTATATTAAAATTATACTATCAGAGGTTTAAATATAATAAATGTAATGGCATAAAATCATACTGTGTATTTATAATATAATATATTGTGTCAATAATAATAAGTTACTTACTCAAAATTTAATTATTATAACGATGGATTAATATAGTACTTGATTTAAAAGCTTTACCTTGATAATCCAAGATGGGAGCTTGATTTGAGACATCTTTAGTTTTATTACGCTGCACTACTGTAAGGTCTATTCTTCCTTTTAAATTTAATAACTGGCATAAATGTGACCTCCTATAAAAATTTACAAATAATTATACAATGATATTTTTTTTAAATAAATAAATATAAGGAAATGGCTTATAGCCAAGTAGATATGGGTTTGATTACCAGACAAACAATTTCTTTAGGACCACAGTTCCCTATGACTTAATTACAAAAAAAAATCTACCTGTGTGTAAATATAGCTAATAGCTGTGTGATCTGGTTGGCTGTCCTCGCATTGATTGATGCTAGGAGTAATGCCGAATGGGACTTTATTAACGCGTTCAACCAAGTACATGCAGCCGCACATCTGCAAATAATACTATTATATAAAAGATGTACTTTAAAATAGAGCATAAGACAAGTTGCAATATTTTTTGTTGTATTGTAAACTTCAACAGAGCACAAATATCATTTGTATAGTAAGTATATATCCCTATAAAATATAGTATAGAGGAGTGAAAGATATTTTTTAAACAATATTTGTTTTGCTGTGAAAATATCTAATAATGAGGTTATCACTAATGAAATAGTGTAAATTATACACTTGAAGGTTCAGATAAAAAAAGGGTACTTACTGGCTTGTCTTTCTTGTGGCCATCTCCAGTATGCTGTCTAACAACATAGGGACATACTCTGCTGGCAGTGATGCAATCGTGTTGAAGGCCACTGCTGGGTCATCTTTTTGTAACACTGTTAATATTAACCTACAAGAAAAATAAATTTAACAAACAGTACAATAAATTACATAATGTTAAAAATTTACATTCCAGGTTGAAGCCTACACAGCATAAAGTGTGTTACCATAAAAAGATAATGAGTTATCCCGGAATGCCACTGGTTTTCAGAAATACCATTGCACTAGCACTACTATAAGGAATTTCCTACTACAAGATCCACCACACATTGTGTAGCTTTGATACTTAAAGATATTTGAATCTGGTATTAAATTTTTGTGTATTTACCCTTTATCATCAGAATGCAGTCCCTGCATTAGTAACTTAGTAAGGTTCTGATTAACTGGTGCTTTGCTTCGGCTGTTTAAATCTAACGCTAGGTTCTGTAATCTTGCTTCCATTGTCACCTCAGTCTAGAATAAGATAATAAAAATCTCCTTATTGTGGAAAAGCCGAAAGTCATGCATATTTGCTTTTACATTTATTTCCAAATCTGATGGATATATGAATTTCTAAATGTAAAAGTTAAATTAAAGTATATGATACTAGAAATTCACAATTTGATTAGACCTATTTTTTAATAGTGTAAGAGCAGTGTTGGCCTAGTAGCCAAGTGTGAACTCGTCAACCATGAGGCAGTTCATTCAAATCACAGCTCCAACAATGGACTATATTTTGTATGTGCACAATTATCACGAAAACTGAAGGGAAATATTGAGTGGATACAAATTATTTTGTTAATTTATTTATTAAATATATATTAATGTATATTTATTAAATATATATTAATGTATATTTATTAAATATATATTAATGTGTAAGGCTGTGACTTACAGTTCCACCAGCTGTCGGCCTTTTTCTGCTAACTCCACCCATTGGCTCCACATATGTAATATCATTATTTGTACTTGATATATCTTTTGTTGTATCATTTGATTTTTGAACCTTTTTCTCATTGTCACCACGTATTAGGATTTGTGTCTTTGTACTTAAGTCTGGTGTCTGAAAATAATTTTAAATATAACATACAAAAGGCAATTCAATAAATAATATACAGTGTAATATAACTGTATATAACGGCACTCAAGGGACTGCATATTTTGACGTGACAAAGAGTTGTCGTTAAATGGAAAGAATAATCTGTATTAGAAAAATGTAAAAGTTAAGTTCAGACTAGTGTTAGTAATTACTTAAAAATTCTGTTATTTTCGTCTGACGTCTTTTGCCACTTTTTAAGAATAATATGATAACATATAGATATCCATGACTCCTACTAACAATAGTCTGTCTATATATGCAAGGAATCCCAATTTGTAAAGAAAAGAACGGATTTCATAGAAAAATCGGTATGTGCCGACTTTATTACGGGCTAAGACAGTAAAGCGAAAAAAGAACGTACACAGATCCACAGTTTTAACTAAATTCGGCAACTTTTATTAATAAATTGTTGCCGTTATTGAGGGTGGGTGTAATGCTATGTAGAGTGTATCATTGTATAGAAACAAACTAAACAAACCAAAGCCAAGTGATTTCAATGCTTTAGGAGGTTTGTCGTTAAATCCAGGGACCTTACATGGAGTTTACCCTATATATATATATATATTAATATGTAGACATACCACTTTTTCAAAAAGAAGCACAGGACCATTTTTATAACCCAACAATAAATCTCCATTTTTGGGTAGCTGACAACATGTTAAAGGTAGCGGACTTGCACCTGGAGTACTAACTTGGATAGTCACTGATGGCTTAATTGGTTTTGTTGTTGAGCTAAAATATAGTGAAAATTATAAGATAACTAGGTATTATATCTACAACAAATAACTTTGAAACATGTGTGAAACATGGGCTACACAAATTTGTATTGAATTAGTCACATAGCTAAATGTGAACTAATGTAATTTCCATACAAATTTGCTTGCCTAAGCGGTCACCATGTTTGAAAGGGATTTATGTTGGGTCTCATGTTTTTTGCTTATGTAACACAACAATAACATCATTTAATAATTTTTTCATTAAGTTAAGTAAAAAAAATGCTAATTGCATTTTTTTTGTTTATGTTCAAAATCTGTCTTTCTGTAATATTTTTTTTTACAGAAAATCAATTTATAATCCCAACACTTTAATAATATCAAACATAATATTTTTCATTTTATATTAAAAATACACACCCATTTAGCATATGTCCATAATAATGAACAACACCACTTCTGGTTGCAGCAACAAGTGATAGTTTTGTTCCTTCAGCATCACACTTGATATTAACATCTACAAACTTAGGAGCATCTTCTAGAACAAAATTATATGTTGGTGTTGGAGTAACTATGATTTCTTTTTTCCGTTTTTTGTTTGAGGGTGTTGAATCACCATTTTGTAGTGGTTCCTCTTTAATTGTTACATCCCAGAAGGATAGTAGTCTCTCTTCTCTATAAAACAAAAAATAATAAAGCTCTTGAATCTTGGTATTAAGGAAAATATTTAAAAAAATAAGATTCCCTTGGAAATCTAGTTTTAGTTCTAGGTTTGAGTTTAGAGAGATCATAATTTATGAATATGATTATAGAAAAACTAAATGTTAGACAGCCACATTTTGAATGATAAAGGATTATTTTTCTTTAACGCTATTTCAGTATCTGTTATGGATCAGAAAAGTATCTCATAAAAATAACATCTTAATTTATCTGAGTAAAAGATTTAAATACTTACTGAGACCCTTCTATTAGCCAGCTAGTATTTCCCAGTGTAGTAACAGTCAATATAGCTTTATCTGACACAGTGTGACTTAGTGATTGAACAATGGTGGCATTTGAATTTTCTAATCTCCATATATTTGTCTTAACTGATGCTACAATAATATATTTAATAGATGAATCCTGTAAGATAAGGTAAGAAGGTTTATCTCTACTGTCCCTTTTATAACATAATTTATAACCCAACCATAATTAGATATTCAATGACTTTAAGGCTTATGTCAACAGTTGACATAAGCCTTAATAGTTACTATTAACATACTTATTACATTTATGCTACTGAAATCAAAAATTTTAAAAACAAAAGATACAGAAAGAGAGTGAGTTGTGTTACCTATAGATAATTTAAAAACACTTTCTAAGATCCTTACCTGGTTGTGTGGCACTATCTTAATACCTGAAGCCTTATTAACTTGTTTTAACTTAGTCCTCATAGATACATTGTAAGTGTGCTTCACTGAAGACATTCCAAGGTCCCACTCAATAACATGACTATCAACAGAGCAACTGAAAAGGCCATATTTTCTATGCCAATCCAAGGATTGAATTTTTTTTGTTTGTTTCTCATTTTCTAATACAGTTTCAACTTTTGCTTGACTCACGGAATATAAAAGTATCTTTCCGTAAATTGTACCCAATGCGACGCATTGTGAAGTTTGTCCAGAGATAGATTTTCTAGCGCCTTTTTTTGGACTCTGCAAAGGTTATGTTGTTATTGTTTACATCACAAATAAAGTGAATTCTGAAAAATAAACTACTACAACTTAATGTAACTGAGTAGTAAATAGTCTTTTTTTAAATCCGAATAACTTTAATTATATTTCGACATAAAAACCACGTGTTATTGACTTACCAAACTGTTATTTACTTCTACCCACTGTAAACAAGTCGGTGAAGCCTTTAAATGGAAATCTGGAGTATATTCCTGTTTTAGAACATTTGTTTCTGTATCCCATATTCTTAATCTACCGTCATTGGTAATTAATGAAAAATATTTTCCATCTTCAGAAAACGCGGCCTCTGCCATCTTTAACTTCTACAATTTAAATTTTGACTTTGATTAAAGAATAAAGATCAACTTATTTGGCATATTTTACTGGGCACTAGCTGTCAAAAGATTTTACAAATCAGACGTTTCACTTAACGCCGTTTTCTCATTGTGTAAATAGTTGAATGTCATTTGTTGCAGTTATTGCGTTTCACGTTTTAATTAAAAAACTTGAAGGTCCTTACACAACAGAAAATTTATAGTAAATTTGTGGAATATGTGAATAAATCATTTATTATTGTTATAATTTGATATTCTTTTTTTATTACTGGTAATTAAATCTTTCTTTCCACAGACACAAAAAAAATTGTATTAACCAATCAAATTACGAATTCGATTATTCCGTTTGGGATCCTGTATTTTCATTGGTGCATATAGTTACAGTGATGCCATACAAATATTGCAACAAAGGTGATCAAAATAAAATTAAGAAGAAAACATTCCTTTTTGGTTTCGTATTGTGTGTTGTCGCCTACGGTTCCGTCATCCGTATCTATTCGCGATCAAGGCGATTCGCGTACGACTTACGAATGTAGATTTTAGATTTATTTATTTTAATATCACGCTCTCGTTCCACTTTTTGTTATTTTTTAGTTTTATCGTTCTATAATGTGCTGTGTTAGTTGGAATTTATTTATGTGAAACAAAGGCTGTGAGTGTCGAAACGAAAGCAAACGTTGATTATTATGATGTCACTGCTATTAGATCCTTGAATAATGAGTGTTAATGTTAAAGACGTTTCAAGTCCTGTATCTGAAGGGCAGAGTAGTGTTTTGGAAGTGGCTGAAAAAGAAAGTGAAGTGACTTCAAAGGAAAATGTTGAGGAAGGTCAGTGTTCAGAGCCCTCAACACCTAAACCTCATCCAATGGCGTTCACAGTTGATTTCGGTGAGACGAAACGGTTTGATAATCGTAGACTCGAAGAGTTAGCGAAAAAATCTCAAGCTCGGCATCAGAGGGTTCAATCTATGTCTGCTAGTGCACCTAAGCTAAGTCCCATATCACAAAGAATGTCCATGAGCGCTAAACTACCTCGTAAGGCACAAGGTTACAATTCTGAAGGCTATTTTTCCTCAGATCAAGAAGATGGTCTGTCTACTTCTCTTAAGCTCCGAAGCAGTCCATTAGCTCAAACAGACAATCCAATTCAAAGACAAGATAAATCACCTGTTGAGTTCCAGCCAAAACGTACGTCCAAAAGTCCAATAGTTGATAGTATCATGTCGAGAAGTGAAAACTTTACTACTCGGCCCACACTTAACTTACCACTCAAAATCAGTTCCTATAGAGACGTCCAGAAAAGTCCCAGCTATTCTAATTTGAATTTCTTTAGGCATCCTATGACTGATATATTAGATCAAAGTCCGGATGGAGTAATGCTTGTTGATATTTCAAGTCCTGAATTAGATATCTTAACTCCAGATAATGGTTTATCAACACCAGAACTGTCTAGAAGTCCAGTGTCTCATAAATTGAGAGCATCTTCTGAAACCCCTGATCTGTTTAAAAAATGTCCTCCTAAACCACAGGTATTGTTCATTGATGATGAGGATGACAGGCAGTCTAATAATTCATCTACTGGTACATACACAATAGAAGGTGATAATTATACAGAGGAGCAAAAAGCAAGAATGAGTATAGATAGAACTTTTGGAACAGACCTTTTCAAACATACCATAGATGAAACTTTGAAAAGAAAAAACATAGAAAATGATCCAGAACTTATATTTGATTTTTCCAAACCCATCACAACTGTGGAACCAAAACATGATCTATGTCTTCATAATGCACTTCCTATGACCAAGAAGGAATCGCCTAGCATGGTATCAAAAGACAAAAATGTCTTAGAAATATCTTGTTGCTATGAATCTCCATCTGAAAGTGATTTAGCTGCTCAAACATCAAAACAAATTAAGTCCACACGTAGTTATTTAGAGAAAATTAAAAACAGAGTAAGAACCATAACAGAAAAGACATTTCCAAAGTCTCCACCAAGATATGGAGATGGTGATTTTGGTATGTTTACTTCTGTTACAACATCTGGTGTCTTAAGTTCAAAATATCCTATAAATGTAGAAATTCCTGTGAGAAGGCGTTGTAGTCTAACAAAATCAGAAATTGATAAAACAGACTACATTCATAGGCTATCCAGAGAATCATCGGTGCCTGTATCCTTACCAAGCACAAAAAATTTACTAGAAGATGCTAAATTCGAAAGTACAGCATTAAGAAATGCCCAAAAAGCCATGAGAGAAGAGAATCCAGACCTAACACCAGAAGAAATTGTTAATAGATTATCATATTTAAGTCTAAATAGGTGTAAAGGTGATAAAACATGGATTCAGCATTGGGCGGACAGTGTTCAAAACTACAATACAAATACATTAGGCAAGGAGGCAGGGGATTTAAACAGTACCTTTATGGTAGAAGACCGGCCTCCGATCAGTCCAAGACTGCATCCTACCAAATGTAAGTTAATGTTAGATTAATTGTAGTAGTATAGTTCTAAGGATCAATAGTAATTATAGTTAGCTAAAATGAATCCTATTGCTTTTTTGTTGTATGTTCATGGAAACATATTTAGTTTGTTTTTGTCTGTTCTCGCTAATTGTTCAGGGTTACCATTAGGTCATGGTTTGTGACCTGATTTTGAAAGGAAAATTGTGTATTTCACAGAAATATAGCTAGCTACACATAATAAATGAGGAGTAGTTTATAAATATTATTATTGTATGTTGTATAAGTTTATAATTAAACCTTTTTGTTTTAACTGGATAGTTAAAAAATGTAATGAATTTGAAAGTCAAAGATAAATGACATAAAAACTAAATAATCTTATGAGTTGAATCCGCGCATAATTTGGACGATATTCGATTTGGCTTGATTAAGAATTTTTATTTATTATTAAACTAAAGAGTTTGCTGTTCTTTGTACGTAGATACTGTTATATGTAAGGTGAAATTTGTTTCTGTAATTAATTAGACTAATTTTCAGCCCGCAGCCCGCATGGCGGCACTCCCACAAAGATACCAAGCCCTGTCGGGACCCTACTACACCGCAGGACACCGGTAAGCAAACTCTATAGTTTTTATATTTCACCTTTTTTTAGTTCCTTCAAATTAAGGATGTACTTGAATTTAATTGTGTTTACTTTAGAAAGAGAGCAGTGTTGGCCTAGTGGCTTGAGCGTGCGACTCATATCTGAGATCGTAGGTTCGATCCCCGGCTGTGCACCAATGGACTTTCTTTCTATGTGCGCATTTAACATTCGCTCGAACGGTGAAAGAAAACATCGTGAGGAAACCGACATGTCTAAGACCCAAAAAGTCGACGGCGTATGTCAGGCACTGGAGGCTGATCACCTACTTGCCTATTAGATTGAAAAATGATCATGAAACAGATTCAGAAATCTGAGGCCCAGACCTAATGAGGTTGTAAAATTCAAAAATCATTTAATCATGTAGGTAACACATTGTACACTTATGACTTGTCAGTAAAGAAATACATATTAATGCTTCTAATTTTACATTTAGTGCCAGTTCTCAAATCAAGGGCGTAGAACGGAAGAGAAGAACTGGCAATAAACTCTCCGCCACTCTTTTTAATCGCCATTTTTTTTTTTACACAACGTTTGTAAGGAGCTGCAACCATTAAACCATGTTCCACATGACATCTTAAGTAATTAATAATAATAACATAAATTAAAAACAAAGAGTTGTCCTCTATCAGCAGGAGGCATGGTGAAATAGGAGCACGCACTTACATTCTCGTGGGAACAACACGCAAACACATAGTCGAAATAATTAGTATTTAGCGCCACTGATTTATTTATTACTTTAGAAAGTAGAATTCATCCCGATTTTAATCGGTGTATACTGAAGATATATGAAAAGGTCATCAAATAATATATAATCCAGTTATATAAATTATGTGTAAGTGATGTCAGCATCTTACGGATTTTAGGTGGCAAAAAAATATGAAGGCATTGTCTTATTTTTTATATGCTTTCTGTAACCATCCGTTTCGTTTGCGTAATTTTAAACATGTTTAATACAGAACTGAAGGATTTTGTAATAATGTACAAGGTTTATTTATATTTTACAATTTGATATGTTTTAGGCAAACTTATTTCGTAAGGAAGCGCTCGCAAATATTTTAATACGTTAGATAATTAATTTAACGTGAAAGTGAGTCGTGGTTTACTTTGCTAATTAAGTTAGGTGTTTGTTTTTTTAGGTTAAGTCTGTTAACATTAGCGTGGTATCAAACCCAATTATAAGAATTCATACAAGTGTTGTTGCCAAATTTTTCATATACATTTGAACATACTTCACTGTAATGGTTTCTAATTATGAATAATTAATTTTGCGTAATACGTTGATGTGAGAAATCATCTTTTAATAAGTGTGTGTTCTACAACTGAATAAATCTTTGATATAATATAAATAACCTTGAAATATAATATTTTATGTCTGACACAATGATGACGTGGTTGCCACCTGTTTTAATGTAAAGTGGTATTATAATATAGCGCAATATTGGATTCAGCGTGCGACTCCTGAGGTCGTAGGTTCGTTTCCCAGCTGTGTACTTTGCATGCATTTAACATTCGCTCTTACGGTGAAGGAAAACATCGTGAGGAAACCTTAGACCCAATATGTCGACGGCGAGTGTCTATTAGCGGCCTATTAGATTGACAAATGATCATGTAACAGATACAGAAATCTGAGGCCCAGACCTAAAAAGGTTGTAGCGCCACTGATTTATTTGTTTTATTATTACCAATGAAAAGGCTAACCACCAACTAATTCGACTTAGGGTCCTTCAAGAAAGAGGCGTTTAAATTCTTAAAAAGTCGGCAACACAGTTGCGAGCCCTCTGGCATTGAGAGTGTACAAATGCGGTACACGGTATCACTTATTAGGCGAGCCTCTTGCTCCTTTAACTCGTTCTATAAAAAAAGAGGATTTTTTAAATATTTTGATATTAAAAAGTATTGTAGTATTCCACTTAAACTGCCCACGAGTGGAGATAGTGCGTCCATGACCCAATTGATAAATTGTGTCGACACGGACTGTCGTTCTCTGTCAGATTTAACTTTTTAATGTTTTTTAGAATCAGTAATAATGCTTTCATAGTAGTAGGGAAATACTCCGAATTCTGTGTGAATCAGTTTTTAATAATTAACACTTTATTAGCATCAGAAACAATACCACCAAACAAATAATACATGTGTATATACAAAAAGGTTACATCCATTAGTTACTTATAATTGATTGAATTTTTATATAAAATTTACACAGAATTATAAACTTTTTAATTACTTAAGTTAATGTATGATGAGCCTGATGTTAAGTGACAACGCCGCGCACACTCAATGCCAGAAGCGTTTTAAGAATTGGGACGCTCTTTTTTTCATGGACCCTAAGTCGAATTGGTTCGGATATTCTTCAGTCGGTAGCTGGTACCACATAGTGGTGGTGCGCGGTATAAACTGCCTTAAAAACGCTCAGTTGTGGAACAACGGACGATCCTAAACTATAAAACGATACCGGCCACCAAAGAATGAAAAACTCAAACAAGTTCACTTATGAACGTCAGAAAAGAAATTAAATTAATTCTAAATTTACATTTACTACCAGTTCGCATGTCAATTGCGTAAAGCGGGCAAGAAGAACTGGCAAGAAACTCTCCGCAGCTCTTTTTAATCGCTAAGTTTTGAGTCATACAATCTGTTTGAACTGGAGCAAATCAGTCCCAAGAATTAGGATCATTTAAATATTCGTCAAATTTAGGTAAAATTAGGTTAACTTACCTATACAATGCCAGAATTATAAGAGAATATACTTTGATAATTTACGAATTTTTTTATTAGTATATGTTTATTTACGTGAATATAAAACCTCTTAAATTATTAACAACGTAACGTTTCGATTATGAGGTCATATTAAGCCTTTAAAAATATATTTTAGGTCGTTGCTGATATGGAGGGTTTGAAAATGTTCACGATGTTTGTGCCGTTAACACAGGAATAGTTTTTGAGTTTATTTTTATCTGCAATTTTTTTCGAATAAATTCTTTGATTGTATTGCGTTTCTATGTAGCATAGAGGTAGATTGGTACTCAAGGTCATTAACGAGTGGGCAATACAGATTAAGAGTTGTATAAAGCATCCACCAATGTGTCATGGGCAGACACATTTTGCCTTTCTGATATCTTTTCTTTATGGGCAAGGTGATCTGACCTAATTATTTTCTTTGGCTTATTCCCGGACTATATTGTCAGTGTTGGCCCAGTGGCTTCAGCGTGCGACTCTCATCCCTGAGGTCGTAGGTTCGATCCGTGGCTGTGCACCAATGGACTTTCTATGTGCATTTAATATTCGCTCGAACGGTGAAGGAAAACATCTTGAAACCGGCTTGCATATGACCGAAACGGCGACGGCGTGTCAGGCACAGAAGGCTGATCACCTACTTGCCTATTAGATTGACAAATTATCATGAAACAGATGATGAGGCCTAGACCTAATAAGGTTGTAGTGCCACTGATTTATTTTTATTATTTTAAATGTTTGGTCTAAGGAGTGGTGTGTTGCAATTTTTCTTAGATGCGCAAGTGTTTATTGCATTTGCAGAATGTAATTGGTGCTCAGTTACTTAAATCAAGCATTGTCTTCAAATGTATAGTTATTAATAATAATTTAAGGTATTTTAGTTTTTATTAAAGTACTACGGTCACGTCTATGGCTAATACTGGTTTTTTATATGGAATTTGAATCGATCATTAGGACATATTCTGCACCCATTTTCACTTGTTCATAATTTCTAAATAAAATCTGGTTTATACTTTTGTAATTTAAATCATTAATGTGTTGACGTGTATATGCTTTATAGCCATCGTGATCACGGGTTGATAAATCTTGTATTAAAGCCTTGATAAGCGATGATTCTCTTAATGACGCATCAATCATAGTTGACAAATTTGACGTTTTACATTAAAGCACGGTGCAACTGTGATGCAATACGTGAATCCTCCTTCGTCTAAAATCTTTTTTGTGCCATGCTCTAAAATTCTTATGTAGTTTTTGCATATAATTTTTTATATAAAAAATTTAATTGTGCACTTAAGTAACTTAAATTATAGGGTTGAGGAGAAATTACTAGGAAATTGTTAGCAAAACACAGTAAGTAAATTTTAAAATCAAATGATAGCTAAAAAATTAAAATTTCAAGTAATTTTAATACATTTTCGAATAGCCACTTTAACAATCAAATTTACCGTGGTTTCATTTGTTGAATTAGTTAGTATTTTAAGCCATAAAATACAACGGACAGATTCCAAAATGAGGAAAAGCATTGCACCTGAGGAAAGGATCGCAGGGGAGCGGGGAGGTAGTGGCGCGCGGTCGGCAGCAACCGCTTGTACGTTTGTAGTGGGTCCGACAGCTCTACACGGCAAAACTCGACCGCCTCACAGGCTCACCTATGTTAATGAACGTAGTTGTTTTCACGTTAGTTGTACGATCTGACATTGTTGACGTATAGTAATAGTTGACGAAACAATATACGTTATCTTTGTATCGTAATTGTAGCTAGAAATTATAGATAATGTGAACAGAACAAAAAGTTATCATTAACACGATTCACGAAGTTTAACAATAGAATTAGCGTACTATTTTTCACTGACCTTGCCCTGATATAAACTTGCGACCGAGCCAAATCATCTTTGTGAATTTGGATAGCGAGGTAAGTTTTGGTGTCAGCCTGTTCTAGGTTTGAATCCCGTCTAAGCAATAGACATGTTTTATCGATAAAGTGCTATTCGGGAGAGTAAAGACTTTTGGGCCATATAACATTCTATATTGTTTTTTATTGTATAGCAAATAAATACTCATTTTAATGGGTGCGTTGCCGGCCTATGAGGGACTACGCTTTTATATGAAACTGAAGAATTTGGAATGCTATTTAAATTATTTATGTGGTTGAATTATCAAGTTAATTCTAACTGGAAACTGTAATGTAAATGTCGTATTCGTTCACGACTCACGTATGAGGCTTATACAGAATGCCAAGTGCGAAGTTCACAAAGGTTACTACGGGCTAATGTAATCTGTAATTTTTTTTTAATTTTTCGTTGGTATAACATTGACACTGACATTTACATTGACACCCACAGAGGGTTTTTTGTTTTTTAAAATTGTCTATGAATGTGTCTGTATGAACGCGATTAACTCATTAACTATTAAACGAATATCCGTATGGTTTTTACCAATAGTGTGCGGTCAAAATCTATTTTGACAAAACGACCAAGGGAGGATTACAGGATTATATTTTGTAAAAATATTTCTTATTAATCAGAGTTGGTTTTCGGAGCAATGCTACTACATGACATCATCTCAAATAAAATTGCCTACCAGACTCGTAATCATGCATTATTTCGCGTTCCCCATATCAACACCAACTATGCAAAAATCTCAGTTTTGTATCGCACAGCCCAGACATACAACGATCACTATTTAAGCCTTGACTTGTTTAAGCTTTGGCGGAATATGCTTAAAAGGCGCATATCCATAGCGCTAAATCGCCTGCATCATGAGCACACCCCACTCTCCCTCACGTACATACCCTCACTTTCACTGTTCACACCATCACAAAACACAACCGAATTATGTATTTTATGAAAATATTTTTTTTTCTTTAGTAAAAATTATTTGAACTTTTTTTGTAAATATTATGTATTCCATCTTTGGCTATTTCTTTAGTATAATTGTTTTTGTTATATATAATTTATGTTAGCTGTAGGAATACGAAATAAATAAACAAATTATCCTCGGGCCTTGAATTGGAAACCTCTAATAAGAGTGTTTAACTGAATTGTGTAGTTTTATGATTTAAGATAATAAATAAAGTAGAAAAAATTAATGGCTCCGCTCATTCTGATGAGATTGCAACAGAGACCGTTAAGAGGTCAACTTTAGTGGAAATCATTGGAAAGGTAAATTCCATTAATTCCAAAAGTACGAATATGTATTTACCAAATAATTAGTTCATGTTATACATGAGTTTCCAATGCCGTGAAGATTGAGGTAAAAATCCACACTAAAATTCATCAAGTTTATGAAAATACAAATTATATTTGCGCAAGTTTTCGAGATTTTTCGCTCAGGCCACGCCTTAAAGTACCATAGTAAAAGTGAAATGCATGTTCCAGTCTGAATACCTACTCTCTTGCATAATTATCTTATTAATGTCTATCTACCGCTGAGTTGCTTATTGTCTCAAAAATCAAGTCAAGTCAAAATCATTTATTCATATGGGTAACACAATGTACACTTATGAACGTCAAAAAAGAAATATACATTAAATGCTTCTAATTTTACATTTACTGCCAGTTCTCAAATCAAATCAAGTAGTGAGTGAGTAGCTTTTCTCTATCTATATACCATAGAAATCCAATTAAGTTATTATTAATAATAATAGCCTTTAATTCAGATACATTTATACATACATTTACATTTAAACACGTTTCTATTTAAATCTTCTTTTAGTGTGTCTGTATGCCCTTTTTTGGCCAAGGCCTCCTCCAAATCCCGCCATTCCTCTCTGCAATGTGCCACTCTCTGCCATGTTTCAGTTGTCTCTTACAGTTTAGTACTTTTTTGCTCCACTTTTCTGCTCCTCTTGCCAAGTGTATTTCCACTTTAGTTTATTTATTTTTATTGTAACATATGTTACCTTAGTTGTTTTTCTTAAAGGTTTTTTTGTCCATTATTTCTTCTCTATCATAAATCGTTCCATCGATTTTTGACATACCTGTAGCTTTGTATCTTTAATTTATTACATATAGGTAAATACATTATTAGTATGCTGAATGTCATGAAAAGGGATGAAGAGAGAGGTATACTGGGACCGTAGCAAGTGGAGATATGTGCTTACCCCTTCGAGAAAAAGGCGTGATCATATAAATAAATATATAATAATATACACTTATGAACGTGAATATTTAAAACGTAATTTAGAATCAATTTAACATCTTTTCTGTCGACGTTCATATGTACTTGGTTACCTATTAGTCCATTGAAATGTTATATTTGCTGAACATTTATTAGAGGACGCAATTTTATTTTTGGGACATTTAGGGCGTCAATACAAACTTAAACCCAAGTTGGTGGGGTTGGCACCCTTGTCCCCCGGCCACCATCTTGGAAAAAGAGGTGAAAACACGTTTTTGGCTATATCTCCTAAACTATCCATCGTAAAAAAAAATCGAAAAGGCATATTTTGTAGCTAATCGCTTTTATTTGCTCGCCCGGTGGAGGAAGACATAGAAGACTAAAATCAACGGCTTGTGTCACAGATAAAAAACAGGCTTACCTACTTGCCTATTAAATGTATCACGAAATGATAACAGATACAGAATTCTGACGTTCTAGGAGAAAGACCTAGAGGTAGCGCCACAATATTTAGTAACGTATACACACAAAATATTTACGTACGGAAGTCAGACTTTGAATCTCATATGCAGACTTTATTCGAGTGTGTAATATACAGAAATAAAATTGTAGGTCAGGTTCGACATTTAAAAGGTCTCGAAGCTGCAATGCGGTAATGTCCTTATGTGTAAGTTATATATCATTTGAAGTTGTAAAAACAGGCTTAATTGAAAAATATGTATTAAAAATTGTTAGGTTCACACCTAACAAGAAGATGGGTGGGAAAATTTACAGGACATTCGCAAATGGATCCGTTATCAGCTAAGGAGGATGCGGTGTGCCATTTTGAGCCTTGGTCCCAGGTGTGGTATATATAGAATGTTCAGAAGGTGATTTAAGATAATTTAATTGTTAATAATCCAGTGGCTATAGGGGTCTTCACAGATTGCATCCGTTTCTTTGATTATATTTATTTCATAGACAACTAGATGAACAACCTTCTGTCTGACACATGTCATCAATATGTCAGGCATGTCAGTCCAGAGAAACTCCATTGCTGCATGGTCGGGAATCGAACCTCTCAGTGATGAGAGTCGTAAGCTA